CACCAGTCTGCTTGACTGCCATGGACCACCTCAGCCCAACCGGCCGGTCGATGCTCCAGGGTCTGTGAAGCAGCGCATGGACTGTCTGTCAGCAGAGTTGATGTGAGGCTGAAGTGGTGAAAGCAGAGGTCAAAGGCCAGGCTGACCGTGTGTTTGGGTTGGGACAAGACTCTGTCATCCAGTCAGTCTGCAGGTCATTCATCTGAGCTGCAGCTGGAGTCTAAATATACAATTCAAAGCTTTCCATGCTGAGCAGATTTCATCGACCTGCTTCTGCAGCTCAAGTTTTATACAGGAATAAAAGTTTCTATGTCTGCTTGTGAAGATCTTAAAAGGATCAGTTAACCCAAATTCTGCTTAAGTCAATAAAAACCTCTAATATTAAAAAAAAACATTATCAGCTTATTAACGGGAGAAATCAAACCTAATAAATAGTTTATAAGGCTCATTCATCTCCTCTGACTGAGCAGATCCAGGTTTTAGGTAAACAACAACCTGCTCTTTGATGAAAATGAGAAGAGCCAGCCTCCTCTGCGTCTGATTGGCTAAAACCTTCCATGCAGCGAATCTTATAGGGCTAGTCTAAATTAGAGCGTCATCTTTTAGCTTGGTGCTACGTAGCAACTGTGAGTTTATGAACTGAAACGTTAAAAAACAGCCAACATTTGAGTTTCATAGTGGCAGATCTCCAGGTAAAGGTGCAATTTGTAAAAATAAAGTAAGAGTGGCATCTTGTGGTCAAAATCTGGTACTGCAGTCCGTTTTTCTAAAGAAAAACTGACCCTGTTATTCCTGTTCCATGAGATTCATGGCTGCTTACCAGAGCTGTAGCGAAGCGTCGATGACGTTGACAGCTCGATTCTAAAAATTCGTCGACGTCAGATCCGGTAGTCAACGCATCACACCCACTTGTTGCATCCCCAGGAGTTTGTAAATAGAGGAGGAATCTGCCTGTTTTTCCTCTAGTTCGCCCTCTTCTCCGCCTTTAGGATGCCCGCCAAATACCGAAGACCCAGAACAATGTCCGTCCGCTACTAGATTCCTTTCCTGTTTTGCCCGCCTTCGTCTCCCGGCAACGGACAACAACTTCCAGGGTCAGATGCGCTGCTTCGTCTCTACCGCAGATGTAGAACATCACCGGGAGCGTTTCTCCCTTCATAAAGGAGCTTCTTTCAGACATTAGGAGAGCTGGTTTGGTGGTAGCAGTCTCCCCTCCATGCTGGTCTGTTTGCTGGTATTTTTGGTTTATTTAAACTTGGTAATTTGAACTTAACATTGGTAAAGCTACTGTTAGCATTTTCGCTAACAGCTTCTTGCGTTTGGATAAGCTGTTACGTTTTGGTTTAGAGTTCATCTTTTTTGTGGTGCAGATCTCCCTTTTATTACATTTAGAGTGTTGTGGGTTTTCGGTTTAGTTTAAAATATCACCTTGAGTTTGGTTTAACCGCCCAGTTTAGAGTTTGGACCTTTGGAGGTCCTTATTTTGGTCCAGAACCCAGTAATCTTTGCCCAGTGGGACATCCCTACTTATTTGTACTTTTGTTTTAATTCCCCACAGGCAGAATTAGTTTTATTATTCCCAACCTGTGGATGGAAAGGTTTATGTTTTTTGTTGTTGTAAATTAACCTGATCATCATTTTAACTTTTAAATCCCGCATTATTGTCTCTTCCTTTTTGCACACCAGCCAAACTCCCCAGGAAGGGTCGTAACACCACCCGCCTCACACACATAAGTGACCAAAACAAAGCAGCATGGAGACACTCCATCTCCAACCACCTCTCAGGCAGCAGCCTGCTCTCCCAAGTTCTACACGTCACCAGAACATAACCAAACGCAACACAATAAAAGCAGTGTTATACAAAATGGAAGGCCTGTAGTGTTTATTCTCTTACAGTAACAATTTATCAATTTTTTTGAGGAATTCATTTGAGATTTTCTGGTTTTTATTAATTGTGCAGTAAGAAAATAATAATAATTAGATTAATCGTCTAAATAGTTATTAGAATAGTCGACTATTCGATAAGATAATCGTCAGAATAATCGTTTTAAAAATAATCGTTTACCCCCAGCCCTACTGCTTACCAGGTACGGATCAGTACTAGAAGATGCTAGGTGACAAGCAAAGAAGATACACAGTAAATTACTTTATAGATAAAAACATTATTATAGCTGGTGTTATCCCGGCTGCACAATGAAAGCATCAGCAGCGCGGAACAGCAGCGGAGCGGTTTACTCACGACTAACACTGCCCTCGAGTGCACGCCGGGAGAGTCTCAGCAGCAAAGCAGCTTCTCTGCCGTGCTCCTCGCTCGACCACAAAATCCCTTGAGATTTCAAAGGTTACATTTATTTTATGCAATCCACCATTTAACCAAAAAGAAGCTAATCACGTTATCACTGTCATATATGATGTTGCTCCTCTCCACCGCCAGGAATAATGCCATGAAAACACCCCGCTGCACTACTGGAACAATGCTGCGAGTAAATAACCCGCTAGGTCACACGTTAGCTTCATATATGTGAAAAACTGCATTGCTGCAATACTTTTATTTTGAAAATAACACTGAAAACGTGTGTTCCTGTCTAGCCCTACATTAACTGAGGTAAATGATGCATCTCAGAAGCGGCTTGCAGAAAAATTTGAACCCGAACCTATCTTTAGGGGCGTGCCACTTCTGGGATGCGTCTGAAAATTGCCGCGTCGCGACTGGCTTGTTTAAAGCTAGCTTAACACTATAACGGATTCTATTTGAAGCGGTGCCGTTCCACGCCGCTGATGCTTCTAGTGTGCAGTAGGTGTTAGCACTCTTGGGTGTTTACAGTAGTGAGCACTTATGCCTCCAGCATTAGGGGAAGTGTGGTGGTTTGCCATCTTGCTGTTAGCTTGCGTTCATGATAAAGGATAAATGACCCGCACTTGTAATATGCCTTTAAGACTCAAAGGACTCCAAAGCGTTTTACACACTTTATGGGCTCGACACACGGGAAGCGATATCGCCTCTCCTCCATTCATTTTCATTGTGACATGCGCGACAAAGCGATAATCGCGGGTCTCCCTCCTATTTAGCAAAACGCGAAAAACGTGCGTGTGAAATTTTGTGCTCTTGCACGTGTCGTGCACAGGCAACCCAGCGACGCGATCCCAGAAAGTTGAAGCATTTTCAACTTTTCATCGTTGTCGCTCGGACGAGGACCAATCAACGGAGGTTTCGTTCACTGACCAATGAGCGGACAGGATGCTCCGTACACCTCCGAGCAAACATGGAGGAGAAGTTGATTATTATTATGTTTTATAGTAAAATCACAAGTAAGATTTCACATAACTCTAATAGCACCTTGTGAAACATCATATCTACCGCTTTATTAACTCTGAACCGCTTAAATAACCTTAATTCCCTCCAACCTGACAGCCAAACAAAACAACGGAAGTTTCGATTTCACCATGGAACAGAACGCGTAGACGGCTTTGCCGCTGGCCGCTGCCGCGGATCGCCTCCCGTGTGTCAGGTAATAAAAGCGACAGCGACGAATTTCGCTGATCGCGGTCGTTTGTCGCCTCCCGTGTGTCGAGCCCATTATCGTTCTGAATGACTCACACTTACATTACATTACATTACACTGTAATACTGTAATACAGAGTTGTGGGTAACTGAAAAATTAGATTGGGATTTTTTTAGAGCCTACTATTTACTGCTAGCCCTTAGCATTGTCAGCTCAACATTAGCCTTTAGCTGTTAGCCCTTAGCATTGTCAGCTCAACATTAGCCTTTAGCTGTTAGCCCTTAGCATTGTTAGCTCAACATTAGCCTTTAGCTGTTAGCCCTTAGCATTGTCAGCTCAACATTAGCCTTTAACTGCTAGCCCTTAGCATTGTCAGCTCAACATTAGCCTCTAGCCTGTTTCACTCAGTATTAGAGTAAAACAAAAAGATGCCATGGCTTCTTAGGTGTGCAAGAAAAAGCTTCTGGGTCACTCCTGTTTACTGGCTTTGGTTCTTCAAACAGCGTTGGAGCTTTTGCCCGCTGGTGTCAGATTACAAATGCCACGCTTTAGCGTTAACTTAGCCTGGCCAGCCATCCCCATACTTCCTTATGGGAAGTTTGGTTTGAATGTCTTTGAACTAGAGGACGAGTTTGGCAGTCCAGGCTAGCGTTAGCTGGCACTGACTCTGCAACCTTGTGGGCTCACAGATTGTTAAAAAAAACTCTGTCCCTCTTCGACCATTTTGAAAACTGACGACGTATTCTCCACTAGGACGATGAATTTTGAAGTAAAAACCATCAGACCAGTATTTTGAGCTCATTTGATCTCCGTTAGCACATCCTCTAATCTCTGACCTGTAAAGTGATCTAAAAATGCTCCTTAAATGCTCCGGCGGACTTCCATGGGAGTTTTCTGAAAGACGCAGAATCCAAATTTAACATATTTTTTGTTGGATACAGATGTGAGTCGGTTCCTGTCGGTGTTTAGTTGGGCGTCTCAGAGGACTTTGGCTGGTAAGAGGATAACCACGGATTCACGGTGTTGCCGTATGAGGAAATTATTTTAATCCTCTTATTTTAAAACAATGTTGCTTCCGTCAGAAAACTGAAGGAATTTGGTTTGTAACTCAAAAGTTTTGAACCAAGTGGATCTAGAGGAGAATCTGCTGAGAGTTGCTGAATCTTTCTGCTCGTCTCTTCTTTGTGCAGCAGAGGTGAATTTGCTGAGGTTCTGCATTTGCCACGTTATCAGCTGACTTTTACGCTCTGCACAATTGTTGAATTTCTTGTGGTGCTAGTTTTCTGCCAAGTGCTGAAGATGAATCTGGCTGCGGCGGTTGGGTCAGGCTGTGACTCACAGGTGTTTTTGTAGAGCTGGTTTGAGTTTACGTTACATCCTGACACAAATGATCAGGTTTGATTCTAGATAAAAGTTTCATGCTGAGTTGTGCTTATCATAAAACACAACTCAACAGGTCCAGGACCCCCATGGTCCAACAGAACCACTGCCACTCACCTTCTCCTTCTGTTTTCCCAGGATTTCTACTCCACACTATCTGCCTGGTGTCCTGCCTTATCTGGAAGGTCTTCCTCTCGGGCCTCTGGGACTTCTTCTGGTAGAAGATGGTCATCTCCGTGCCCATCTCCAGGCTGTGGAGGATGCTGGGCCCGGCCTCGGTCCAGTCCAGCATCCTGGAGGCCGGGGGCTCCTCGGTACAGCCGTTCAGGCAGCCGCTGAACCTGGCTGCGCACATCTTCACAGCATCGCAGCTTCCAGCTGTCTAATCCTCGGTGATTTCCGGACGCAGGAGGAGATCCAGCATGTCCAAAGCGTCTGCAGGAAGTCTGGTTCCGATCTCCGGCTCGGTTCGGTCAGCGCGAGCTAAAAGTCATCCCTCCGCCGTGAGTTACGGTCCGGTCCTCTGGGGGGAGCAGGTCCCTCCGTGATCCGTTCCAGATGCGTTCTGGCAGCAAACCGACTGAGCTCTCATCACCGCTGGAACCGGGGTTTCCTGAAGCTCTCCGGTTCCGCGAGTGTCACCGCAGAGCCACCTCCTCCTAGTCCTCCTCCGGTTCCAGGAAAACCGAGGCAGAGCGACACGGTGGCTTACGTAATGAGAGACAGTCGGGCTGCGACGCGCGGATGGGAGAACCGAGGAGACTTCATCCACCGGACCGGAGCGTTCTCCCCCCACCTCAAAACCGCTCCTCCTCCCGAGCCGTCGTAGGAGGCACCGTGCGAGGTCTGGGCTGCGGCTCGGTTCCTCCGCGTCCAGAAGTTTCTGTGCGTCTCCTTGGAGGTCTCGGAGGAAGCCTGTACCAGCAGACCGGAAAGGCTGGATCATATTTTTTTTTTCTGTCTGTGCTGCTGAAAGTATCAGGAGGAGGAGGAGGAGGAGGAGGAGGAGGAGGAGGAGGAGGAGGAGGAGGAGGAGGAGAGCGACCTCCGCGGGCCTGCAGGGATCTGCAGCTCTGGATGCGTCGTGCGTGCGTGTGTGTGTGCGTGCGTGCGTGCGTGTGTGTGTGTGCGCGCGTGTGTGCATGTGTGTGAACATCAAGTATCACCTACAGCCTGTGGGTGCTGGTGATATTTGCAGATTTGCATTAAACTTCTGCAGATTGAACTCATACCAACACTCATCCCATCTGCAATTAAGAAAACCTGCTTTAAAACAAAAATGTTGCCTCTTTTTTAGCCTAAAAACAAACAACCAAACAAAGCGTCTGTCCCATCAGTCCAGTGCATAGTTAACTGTTCTGTTAAAGCTGAAGTAGGAAGCTTAAAACAATAAAGTAACTCCCCAATGGCCTACATTTGACTGTTTGACCCTGTTCTATGATATAAAGTCATCTTTCATTATTCATTTACCCCCCAAGCCTATTTCTGCTCCTCCATCTGCCCTGGGTACAGAAGAAGAGACATGCTCTATGTGGTGTATTCATCGGACTGAGTTATCTTGCCTTAGCTGATGTTCTTTGGTGGCCGGGGTTGATGACGTCAGGACTGGGAGACGGGGGCTTTGATCAATAAAGTTTGAGCTCGTAGTAACGGCACACAGTAGCCCTGCGTCTTCTTGTTAAAGCAAAAGAACACGACGTGGTGTCAGAAGTGCTGTGTGGCTGTGACTGGGATGGCTGAACACTTGACGAGGACCGTGAGGGTGGACTGGTGAGCGGACATGTCGGACGAGGAGAATGGTTGGCAGTCGCGGGCTGGAGTTAGTGTTACAGGCTCTGGTATTGTGGGCGACGGTGGCACAGGAGTTAAGTGCTCGCCTCCTAATCGGAAGGCTGCAGGTTCGAGCCCCGCTCAGTCTGTCGCTGTCGGTGTGTCCTTGGGCAAGATACTTAACCCACGTTGCCTGCTGGTGGTGGTCGAAAGGACCGGTGATACCAGTGCATTGATTTAAGCACAGATTATTCAAATATTTGATTTAAACATCTTGTTCATTCATCACATGATTATTTACCGTATAACTATAACATCATGGAGTCTTCACTTATTCAGAGTGAAGAACGATGACGTCTGGCGTTCACACAGAGAGTGCAGGACCTTGGGAGAGAATGTTCGTTTGAATGTCAACACGCGCTGAGCAGAACCTTCTGGATTTAGAAGGCCAAACGGAAAGTGGATTTATGCTGTAGATGAAAAGTTATTTTGTTGATCAATAAATAGGTGAAAATTGACCCTTTTGGACGTTACAACCCCCCACCCCACCCCCCTTTTCAAGGTCGCGGGGTCACGGCAAAGACCACGAGGCATTGGACAATCTTAGAGGCCCTGAGGACTCAGCAGAGGAAGACAGAGTTAGTTCTCAGGCACTGAAGCATCATGAGTGAGGAAAAGCAAACCCCCACGCAGAAGAATAGTCAGTAGACATCCCAGTCAGGAAATTGTAATCCCACTTAGCGAAATCCGCAGGCAGGGACCACGATGAGAAGTAAACCAGAGCCATGAGCAGAAACAGACCAGATCCCAGCGATCCAGGACACCATAGCAGGAAGACCATAGGACGTCCAGAACTCCAGAAGAACCGGAACCCAGACCAGCAGATCCAGGCGATGAAGCAGTGATGTTGTCTCATGAAGCGAGGACATCTGGCGAAACTCAGCAAAGCATCAAAACACACACACACAGGGCATTTGACCGTAGACCCACATAGATGGCGTCTGATGGGAAAGAACAAATAAAAAAAAAAATACAAGTACTATATGTACCTGTATGTGCTATGTGTACGCAGATCATGTGAAAAGAGGTCATCTTAAAGGCGTGGATGCAGTAAACTACGTGTACTGGATAAGTGTTGCAAAAAGAACACAATAAACAAAAACCTAAAATATATGTAAAGGAAAGTTAAAGCTTTAGAGCAAAAATGGAAGAGCTAAATAATCAGTGGCTCATAACTGGCTAAAATTTAAATAGAAGGAAATCCTAAAAGTTATGTAATAAAGTAATCAGTGGTAATCAAAATAATGCAAATACGAATGTATCATTAAAAGAATAATATAAAAATGAAGAAGAAAGAAGAAGTTGATCAGTGTTGTTAGTAATCAAACCTACATGTGAATGTACCACAGAAGGAATTAGACATTAGTATTGTAAAACTGAAGTATAAAATTAATTTAAATCAGTCATAAAATGTGTAAAAATTGTAAAAAGTCTATTATCTCTTTATTTATAAAAGTTAGGTGTTAGCTAGCTTATGAACATTAGCTTACATTCTCCCAAGTTGCCAACCTTGCCAGAATTGGATTTATACTACTATGTGATAAACAATGTTTACTCTTTTGCCGATTTTAAAAACAGCTGTCTGCTGTCCCTGCAGCTGAAAAACACCCTCACAGCATGATGCTGCCACCGCCATGCTTCACTGGGGGCTGTATTGGACAAGTGATGAGCAGTGCCTGGTTTTATTCCACACATACCAGCCAAAAAGTTCTATATTGGGTCTCATCAGACCAGAAAATATTATTTCTTACCATCTCGGGGTCCCTTCAGGTGTATTTTAACAAACTCCATGTGGGCTTTCATGTGTCTTGCACTGTCGGGAGAGGCTTCCGACAGGCCACTCAGCAGTAGCTCAGGAGGTAGAGCGGGTTTTCCAGTAATTGGAAGGTTGCAGATTTGATCCCGGCTCTGACAAGAGAATGCTGCTGCCTTGGGCAAGACACTTAACCTGCCTTGCCTGCTGGTGGTGGTCGAAGGGACCGGTGGAGCCAGCGTTTGGCAGGCGTTGCCTCTGTCAGTGCAGTCCAAGGATACATCGTAGCTCGTCACCACCAGCGTGTGAATGACTGTGATTGTGTTGTGAAATGCCTTGGGGGGTTGTAGAAGGTGCAATACAAATACAGGCCATTTACCACTCCATAAAGACTGGTGGAGGGCTGCAGTGATGGTTGACTTTCGACAACTTTCTTCCATCTCCTGACTGCATCTCTGGAGCTCAGCCACAGTGGTCTTTGGGTTCTTTACCTCTCTCATCGAGGTTCTTCTCCCCCGGTAGCTCAGTGTGGCTGGATGGCCTGCTCTGGGAAGGGTTCTGGTCATTCCAAACGTCTTCCATTTAAGGATTGTGGAGACCATTGTGCTCTTAGGAGGCTAAGTGCAGCAGAGACGTTTTTATAACCTTGGCCAGATCTGTGCCTTGCTGCAATTCTGTCTCTGAGCTCTTCAGCCGGTTCGCCTGACCTCATGGATCTAATTTGCTCTGACATGCATTGGGAGCTGTAAGGTCTTATATAGACGGGTGTGTGGCTTTCCTAATCAGGTCCCGTCAGTAAACACAGCTGGACTCCAATGAAGGTGTAGGACCATCTCAAGGATGATCAGATGAAATGGAAGGCACCGGAGTTAAATATATGAGTGTCACAGCCAAGGGTCTTAATACTTCAGACCATGTGATATTTCAGTAAGTCTTTTTTAATAAATGTAATAAAACCTTCTTATGTTAAGCACTTTGGTCACCTTCCAGGGTAAACTTTATTGATAAATCTGGATACTTTTCTAAAATTCTGTTTTTCTGTCAGCATGTGATGCTGCGTGTACATTAATGAGAAAAAAAGGAAATTAATGTGTAATGATTTAAAGGGACTTTATGGAGTTTTGAATTTTTATGCTCGCGATTGCCCCCTCAGGCCAAAAGCGTAACGGCAGCTTCAATAGTAGGCTCGTACACGAGGCGCGCATGCTGTACGTGCACACTCCTTAACGAAAATAACAGCTGAGACAGTCCTGTGTGTGTGTGTGGCCCGGAGGACAGAGGACAGGAGAACGCGCAGCTAATTAATTAAATAATTTGGTTCTGTACCTTTCTCTTCAGCACAGCCGACAAAGGTTTAAGATGGGTCAGTCCTCCTGCATGCTCAGATCATTCCCTTCCCTTGCTTGAAAAATTGTTCCAAAATGAAAGTTGAACCCACATCTTTTTATCTGTGAATTCAATGCCGTTCGGCGAGTCTCAAATAAAAATTTGGGCATCTTACTGTAACAAAATATACCATTAATGTAAAAAAGAAACTCTAAATGAACTATGTTCACATCCAGAATCAAACCCAGGTCTTCTGCATGGGATTCAGACATCTTACTAGGTGAGCTACGCGCCAGTAACATTTGACGTATCTGTAACATTTATATCGTTGATGACAGCTGAAACAACGTCAGACCAAAGAACGGTTCGGAGTGAAAATGGCTATTTTGTTGCTAATTTGCAGGAAATATCTAGAAGAAAGTTCTACAGAAAGTAGCTAAGGGTCCTCAGAAATGTAGCTAGCTTTGTCACTAGGCGTTAGGAACAGCGACAAAGTGGCACTGCCTCTCTCTCTGCTGCTAAAGCTACGGATAGCAAATGCTACGGGCGATGCCTGAGCGTGAACGCGCATGAAGCAGCCTGCTCGACCCGAGCATCTCTCTTTTTCTGTGATTTTACAGAAAAACAGGCAATCACAGTAAAAATGCCAGGGCTCATTCTACAGGACCAGGGCATTGCAGGAGAATGTATGAAGAAGACATTTATTATTTCTATACATGTTTTGACTGTCAGATTTCCATAATGTCCCTTTAAGCCATAAGGCGTAGGATTCCATAGGAAATATGAAATCCACCTTACGGATCTGAACCGGCAAATCCGAAGCTGCGATTAGTTCTGATGGGAACTGAAGGTGATGTCATCGCGTTAAGCTTTGGTTAGGAGGTTCATAAACACATGAGACACCATTTGCCGGTCTACCTACCCTTCAGGAAGTCCCCTTTAGATCAGGAATGTCGAGATCCAGCTTGACCCTCTCTGGAACCGAGCCGGTAGGAAAATCAGCGGTTGCCGACCAGTCCAGTCTGTGAGATACTTCCGGGTTGCGACAATTTGTTGGCGTCTGGTGAGACCCGAGCCTGGGTCTTGATAGTTCAGCTTTTATTCTGAAAGGAACTGTTGAGCAGTTGGAACAGCAACGAATTTTCCAGCTTGTCGTTGGTTCTTTCGGTTAAAGAGGAGAGTTACGGATCGGCCACTCCGACACTTTCTCTGGAACGCTTTGAACTGGCGTTAGAGATGACGTGGGCATAGTTTTATACTTCGGATGTTTTGGTTTATGGCTCTTAGCAAATGGCTGCAAAATAACAGAGTGAAGAATTGACGGGGGTTCTGAATACTTTCCGTTCCCACTGTAAATAGGATGGTTTGCCAGGCTAGTTATGAGCTTTTGAGACAAATCAGACTCAGCCAAGCCAGCTGAACAAGAACTAGATTTTGAAAGCGGCCTTTAAAACCAGAATCGGTGCAAACCGCATGCGTTCACCTTAAATAGCAACCTAGTTTAATTAGATTTCTTTATGTTAACCCAAAGGTTTTTGAGTAAACGGTTCTTCTAACATATCTATACTGCATTATACAAATGAAGTATTCAAAATAAAATATTTATAAGAACATCAGAGTTGTTTCTTTATTGCAGCAGAATTGTAGATATAGGACTTGCTGATGTTTTTGGTGTCAAACCTTTTTTAATATTCCTGCATCCGCTAAGTTGTGAAAGGGCAGTAAAGGAACACAAACGGGAAGAATGTGAGCGTTAACCAATCCACCTCAGAGGGACGAGATGGTCATGGATGATCTCACCTCCTCTCCGTGTCTAATCAGCTCCATATGTCCACTGGGTGTTTCTGTGGTTCTACTGGTCAGCAGGGCCTCCAGTAGAAAAACCCTCTCCACACGTGGTTGAGAGTAAAAACAAAGTGCTGCAGAGTCTGGAGGTCAGAGGGTTTCAGTGGATCAGACAGATTTCACAACAAAACGAGTCAGAAATAGTCGGAACGAGAGCAGATGACGGCTAAACTACAACACCGCCGAGGCCTCGAGAAAAGATTAGACTCGCATTGTGTGAGGTATCTCACTGAAAGTCTTAATGTGACACGTTTCAAACAAACAAATGAGAGGAAAGCAGAAACCAGTAGTTTTCCATCCCACCACTAGAGGGCAACAGAGCTGAAAATTAATCACCAAGCAAGAAGCTGAGAAAAAATTTAATAAACAAAACACAAACAGGTGAAAATAAACAAAAATACTGACGTTTCAGGTGATCTGAGGTAGAGAACACTGACTAGCTCTGAAGGTTTATAGATCCCGATCTGCAGATGGAGTGTCATTCAACCTGAAGGGATTTTTCTGCCACTCAGAAGTGAGGTTCTGCAGAAATGTTTTAAATTATTCCCATCTTTATTTTACCTGTTACAGATAGCATCTTGAACGGCCTCCATTCAGAAAAATAGAGCTATCTAGTCAGGATTGATAAGCTTACGGCTAGTCTTTTCTGCGGTCACAGGTGGCAGTATCTGTGGTAAGGAGTTTTTGCATCATTTCCTGTTTTCAGTGTTGCACTTTGTGTAGTTGTTCGGTGTTTGTGGCTTGCTAAAATTAATTAAATTTCTCTGTACTTGGATATCTCTGAGTTATTGTAGCACATAAGCACGCTAAAAACACATTTTCTGTTGTTCCACCTCACTTTTAGGGAACCATTTGAGTTCGCACTCAGTTTATCTGGTGTTGAACGGGTTGATCGTCCAGTTAGCTTAGCCTCAGCATGGCTATGGCTACTTCTGTCTCTGCTTTTCCGTCTCCTATCTCTTGCTCTCTGTGTCAGATGTTTAGCTACTCCTCTGCCTCCTTTAGTGATAATGGTACGTGTAATAAATGTAGCATTTTTGTAGCTTTGGAGGCGAGGGTGTCGGAATTGGAGGCCCGGCTCCGCGCTGTTGAAAAGCCCGTAGATATCCATAGCTACTTAGCTAACGCGGGGCTAAATAGATCAGAACCACCCCGTAATGGTCCTCCAGTAGAACCCGAGCAGCCAGGACCTCAGGCCAGCTGGGTGAAAGTACGTAGGAATCATAGAACCCAGCCCGTGGGCCACCACCGACCCGTTCACTTTTCTAACAGATTTTCCCCGCTCAGTGACGCACCCACTGACAAGCCGACTCTGATCATTGGCAGCTCCATAGTCAGAAACGTGGCATTAGAGACTCCAGCAACCATAGTTAAATGTTTACCTGGGGCCAGAGCAGGCAACATTAAATCTTATCTGAAACTGCTGGCTAAGGATAAGTGTAAATACAGTAAGATTGTTATTCACGCTGGCGGTAACGACACCCGGTTACGCCAATCGGAGGTCACTAAAATTAAAGTTGCTTCGGTGTGTAAGTTTGCCAAAACAATGTCGGACTCCGTAATTTTCTCTGGCCCCCTAACCGATCGGACAAGTGACGACATGTTTAGCCTCATGCTGTCCAACCGCTGGCTGTCTAGGCGGTGTCCTGAAAACGTGGGCTACATTGATAATTGGAAAACTTTTTGGGGGAAACCTGGTCTGATGCGGAGAGACGGCATCCATCCCTCTTTGGATGGAGCAGCTCTTCTTTATAGGAACATGGCCAGTTTTTTTAGTCCTCCATGACTACCCGGGGTCCAGACCAGGAAGCAGAGTCGTAGTTTAACCCACCCCTCTGCAGCTTCTGTACTGTTACCCACCCACTACCCCATAGAGACAGTGTCCTGCCCACGGCCAAAATCACACAGATTAAATATCAGGCTTAATAAAGCAAATCATGGAAATCTCATAAATATTAGAACAAATTCAACTGAGCAGAAAACTAGAAAAATTAAATGCGGGTTGTTGAACATTAGATCCACTTTTTCTAAGACTTTGTTAGTTAATGACTTGATTTGTAATAATCAGATCTCTTTGCTCTCTCTCACAGAATCCTGGCTGCAGCAAGAGGACTATGTTAGCTTAAATGAGTCGACTCCTTTTAATTATTTAAATCATCATATTGCTCGAAGTACAGGGTGAGGAGGAGGAGTAGCAACCATTTTTCATTCAGACTTATTAATCAGTCCCTTACCAATTAATAGCTACAGTTCTTTTGAACATCTTATTCTTAGTTTTCCTAATCCAGATTGCAAAACTGTAAAAACCACTCTTGTTTGTAGTTTTACATCGACCACCAGGCCCTTACTCTGAGTTTTTGGATCAGATCTCTGATTTTTTATCTGATTTGGTGCTAAATACTGATAAGGTCATTGTAGTGGGGGATTTTAACATTCGTGTGGACATTGAAAATGATAGCCTCAATGTAACCTTTAGTAATATCTTACGCCTGGATGAAAAGGTGAGTTTTTAAATGGTTTTTGAAGACCTCTACAGTTTTGGAGAGACAGAGTTTTTAAGGCAGACTATTCCAAAGTCTGGGGGCAATAGTCTGAAAGGCCCTGTCCCCTTTTGGTTGTTAGTCTGGTTCCAGGAGGTTTTGAGATGTGGATCGAAGGTTCAGTGAAGTAGCGGCTGGTTTTGTGTGGGACAACCTGATCTAGAATTTTGAGGCAGTGATCATTAAATGAGTTAGTAAGGAGCTCTACGTCATCAGAAGAAGGAAGTACAAAGTCAAAAAGGGAGGTAGAACTGTTGATAATACGTCTTTGCTTGGCAGAGTCTGGTAAAAGAGATTCAGAATTTAGGTTAATATGAAAGGAAACTGACTTATGGTCACTGAACACAACATCATTTATCTGCAGTTTATCAACAAAAAGTCCATAGGAAAAGACCAGATCCAGGGTGTGGCCTGCTCTGTGAGTGGGTCCAGACATGTGTAGGAACTCCCTAGTAGAGCTGTCAGTTAGATCCTCAGCATGGATGTTGAAATCTCCAACAATTATTATCCTGTCTAGTTTAATAGTTGAAGATAGGAGGTCCTGAAAGTCAGACAGGAAGGATGAAGTAGATCCAGGTGGGGGATAGACCAGAATCCCATAAACTGATAGAACTCGACCAATTTTAATCATGGTCATCTCAAATGAGCTGTAGGCGCTTGAGGATTATAATTTGGCATGAAAAGTGTTTCTTCAAGATAACAGCTGTTCCTCCACCGCGGCCTGTGGTCCGTGGAGCAGAGAAGAAAGAGCAGTCTTGAGGACAGAGCTCATGGAGATGAGTGATTTCATTTTCGTGCCGCCACAACTCAGAAATCCATAAAAAGTTAACATTTTCGGTGCAGAACAGATCGTTTAGGATGTGAGACTTGTTGGCGATGGAGCGTGCATTAATTATCATCATTTTCGCAGAGAAATCTGGTGATGTGTGTGCCGCGGGCTCCATTATGGTGGTCGGCTGGTGGGCTAAGTTACTTAGCGACTCCAGGCTACGCCCGCGGAGGCTCTTTGTCTCCCACACCTTCAGGTAGCATCCTGCATCGGGGGCTCCAGTGAGCAGCGAGATCAGCCCAACTCCGTTGAGTTTCTGTTGGATCCGCCACGTCACAGCCGCGGAGCAGCAATCAGGTAGAGCTTCACCTCTCAGGATCTTTCGAAGCTGAACGAAGAAGCCGGCTCTCTTCCCTCGTTTCCTCTTCCATGGCCTCCGGGGCAGCGGCAGGCCGACAGGTAACAAAGGGCGGACACCTGGGTTAACGCCAGTTTCCAGTGGCGGTGGGAAAGAGGGTCCGGTATTGGAGTTGTGGAGGTTGATCATCGCGGATCTGATTGACAATAGTAAGTCTCGATCATATGTTAGCAGGGAATCCGCACCAGATAAAGAAGAAACAATAAAAAAAAACTAATAACCAAAAAAGATCAGGAGCCTAGCAAACGCACAACCACTCATGGGCGCCATCTTGCAAGAGCCTTCTACCATCTACAAATAGAAAAGTTTAAAACCAAAAGGAGTCAATGAATCCAGAATTGCTTCTATCACCCAACAAAACCAGCCAACAGCTGGCTCAATCATGTAATGTCCAATAATGAGCCTGAAGCAACACATGCTGGTTAAAATACCTACAGGTTATAGTCAGCCAATCCAAGGGGACTGAACTCCTCAGGAGGCGGGGCTTTACATGAAGCAAAACAAGGTAACAGGTCCGTGTTTTGAACATTTTGTTTGGATGTTTTTCATTAATACAAAAAAAACAAGTTACTAAAAAATTAATTTATGTTTGATTACATTCAGATTAATAATTTGTTGACTTTCCCCTTAAATTCTGAATTTTAACCCAGATTTAGAGTGAAAATAACCCACAGTTGGTTCTGTTTGAAGCACAGAACAGAAAACGGTAAAAAAAAAACATCTTTAGTTGGCTAAAAGGAAGTTGTTTTCACTGCTGCTGTCTTTCTGGAGCTCTGACACCAGGTTGTGGAGTTTTTCTGACAGCGCCACCTAGTGGAAGAGAACACCGCAGACCGGGAATATTGAGTAGTTCTGAGTTTATTTATTTATTTTGCATTTGATGACGACTGAAACTGACCGTGTAGGAGTCGGGCTCCTGCAGCCTCTTGTGTCGGGGGTGCAGGGCCTGCAGCGAGCTCTGGACCTTTGCTCTACTTTCTGCAGCGCTGCACAGAGGCTGGGTGATCTGGGAAACACGCGAGACGCATTTAATGCTCCAGTCTAGGCCTTTTTCTAAATGATTAACAGCCTCTAGAGGACTAAACACAAGCAGATCTTTTAAATGTTTGTAATTCCTGAGAATTACACATAATTTGTCCTCCTTTAATCACATCCATGTGATGTAAACTACATGTTCTGTGGTTTCTCCTTCAAAAACATCTAACATGACGACCAAACGTGATAGGAAACATGATCTGGACCTGGGCGGGATTACAGTGTTTAGGGTCTCCATGCTCACCTGTCCTTCAGAGAAGACTTCCTGACGCAGACAGATCACCTGAGCTGGAGTGACTGTGGCAGGTGAGTTCCCATTCTCCAGAGGGTAACAGGTGAGAAGACACCCCGCCTCGGGAGGAGGCTCCATCTTCAGACACAACAGGTCCAGGAAAGGGTGACCTGAAGAGGACAAGACCATGTCAGGAGCTCTGAACTAGGGATGCACTGATAGGAACATTTTGGCCGACATCGGTTGTTAATGTCAGCCCAGTTTCGCCTATTAGATCAATATAGATGGGTTAGGGTTTAAAATTGTCCAACATCAGCCGATGCTGATGCCACATCATGCATCCCCACTGTGAACATGATCAGATCTTTAACTATTAGGGGAAGATAAAACCCTAAAAACAGGGAGTGGAGAAAAGACACTGATTCTGACCCTCAGAATCCATCAGCCTGTAGACGGCTTTCCTCCCAGGGACCGTGCTTTTCTTCGGATCTTCGCTGATCTTCATCCTCGGTCTTCCTCTCACCTCCACCAGCTTGTGATACAGACACTCAGGTGTTTACTTGAAGAGGCCATGTGAGCGCGCACGTCTCTGCTTTAACTTGTTACCTTATACACGCAGCCCAGTGACGGCTGCTTGGTGCAGGTGACCAGGTGAGTTCCGACTCCGACCACGTCGATCTCGTTCTCCTGCAGCCCAAAACACAGAACGTCTGAGCTGAAAACATAAACAAACTCTAAATAGTTCTGGTTCAGTCTTCCTCACCTTCTTGTTGAGTTCGGAGATGCTTTGCTCGGAGATGTTGTTGGTCCCGACAATGATCAGGGAATTGAAGGCAGGGACGGAAAACCTGAAGAACGTATTAGATCCTTCAGAGGAGCGGAACCAAAGCAAACCAAAGTGTGGACCCTCACTCACTGCTCGCTGCAGCGTCTGAAGACCTGACGGACGTCCACCGACTGCCTGCAGAGGTCCCCGCTGTCCAGACGAATCCCAACGGGCCTGTAGCCCAGCTCACACAGCGCCATGGCCACGGCGCAGAAGTTCAGCAGCCCGCTGCTGAAACACACACGAAGACATGCTCAGATGGGTTCATCTAGGTGCCATCATCTAATCTAGCTGAGAGGAGTTACCAGCCCACGCTGTAGCTGTCGATCACAGGAAGGAAGTTCTGAGGGTAGGCGATGGCGTAGGACAGGAAAGCCGCCAACTCGCCTTCGCGGATCTTTCCGGGATCGGCTCCCAGGAGCTCACAGACCCGGCTCAGGAAGCCTTTAGTCAGAGAAATCATGTCGACCGGATCGCCGTCTCCGTTCACCGCCACCAGGGTCTACGTGGAGAGTGGACGACAGTTTAGACAAAATTCACTCACTTCCAAACTTTTCTCAGGCGTACTTTTCACAAAACAACCACGCTCAGATCTGGTCCGGTCCACCAAAATTCTAATTCACAGATAACAACCCGGCTCAAGTTTTACTTCCAAAGGCAATATTTAGGTCAGTCAGAAATGATGTTTTCTCCACGTAGCAAAAGTTATTTAGATCGGCTAAGATCGGCATCAGCAGGTCAGAGCTGAAAATCAGCATTGGCCCTCAAAACCTTAATTGGTGCGTTTTTTGTTGCTCTTTACTCACAATGACTTTACTTCATGTTTAGATCAAACTCTATTTTGCAGCTTGACTTTACAGGAGTCTGTTTTTTGTGCTACAATGACCAGAACCCCATTCGTACATCCTTATGAAGCTGCAGGGCTAGGTTGACCTACCTGTGGCCACACTTCCTCCAGAGAGGAGAAGGAAGTGACATAAGAGTGCGCCATGGTCCCAGCGATGGGGACACCAAAAAGGAAACTGGCCTGAACGTTACTGGTGAGGTCAAACCCTGAAAAGCAGATCCCAGAGTGAGTCCTAAGGTTTCCATGAATTGGTAAAGGAATCAAATGGGATTCACCTCCGATGTGTGTGTACCGCGAGGCAGTGAGTCCTCCATCTGGTCCCTGCGCCCGACGGAGGCCCAGCTCCAGCAGCTTCCTCCCGGGTCCGGCCGCCAGACGGAAACGAGCAGCATTGCTGCAAACCAGACTGTCAGGGAAAGGGAGGGAAGATCCAGAAAGGTATGCTTATTTGTGATTTCAGTCCTGGAGAGACTCCTGAGCATGTGGCTCAAAACCAAAAACAGAGCAGAGAACCACAGAGTCAAGAAGAAAGGATATGAAACCGGGATTAGTAAAGCAAAGAAAATCTAAGAAAATTGTGTTTACATGTTATCAGCAAGATTAAAACCACCCATCCATCCAGTTTCAGCCGTTTTTCCGGAGTCGAGTCGCGGGGTCAGCAGCCTAAGCTGAGAGGCCCAGACTTCCCTCTCCCCAGTTACTTGGGCCAGCTCCTCCGGGGGAATCCCAAGGCGTTCCCTGGCCAGGTGAGAGACATAGTCCCTCCACCGTGTCCTGGGTCTACCTTTAGGTCTCCCAGTTGGATGTGCCCAGAAAACCTCACCAGGGAGACATCTAGGAGGTCTCCTGACCAGATGCCCGAGCCACCTCAGCTGGTTCTTCTCGATGTGGAGGAGCAGCAGATCTACTCCGAGCCCCTCCCTGATGACCAAGCTGCTCACACTATCTCTAAGGGAGAGTCCAGCCACTCTGTGGAGAAAACTCATTTTGGCCGTTTGTATCCGCAATCTCATTCTTTCGGTCACTACCCAAAGCTCATGACCATAGGTGAGGGTAGGAACGTAGATCGACCGGTAAATCGAGAGCTTCACCTTCTGACTCAGCTCTCTCTTCACCACGACAGACCGGTACAACGCCCGCATCACTGCAGACGCAGCACCAATGCGCCTGTCGATCTCACGCTCCATCTTTCCCTCACTCGTGAACAAGACCCGAGATAATTAAACTCCTCCACTTGGGGCAGGACCTCATCCATGACCCGGAGAAGGCATTCTACCCTTTTCCGATTCGAGACCATGGCCTCGGATTTAGAGGAGCTGATTCTCATCCCAGCTGCTTCACACTCAGCTGTGAACCGCTCTATTGAGAGCTGGAGATCACGTTCTGATGAAGCCAACAGGACCACATCATCTGCAAAAAGCAGAGACCTGATCCCCAGGCCCCCAAAACGGATGCCCTCCACACCTTGGCTGCGCCTAGAAATCCGGTCCATAAAGGTTATGAACAGAATCGGTGACAAAGGGCAGCCTTGGCGAAGTCCAGCTCTCACTGGGAACGAGCCCGACTTACTGCCGGCAATGCAGACCAAGCTCTGACACTGGTCGTACAGGAACCTAACAGCCCATATCAGAGGGCCTGGTACCCCATACTCCCGAAGGACCCCCCCACAGGACCCCCAAGGGGACCAAATTTATAGTAGTCTTCTCTATAATCAGTGCTCCTCCTTTTGTTGGGAAGAAAGATTTGAATCTCGCTAGACTCAATCATTTTTCTTCTCCTCGTTCTGTGTCTGGTTCAATGACGTCAATTTGGCGAGACGAACATTTATAGTCCGTTACGTATTTTCACACAAAATCTAAAATAACTTTTGCCGCCATTCGAAACTAAGCGCTTTCTTGGCATCAAAACTGTCTTTAAAAATCCCGGACATCATATGTTAAATCCACAGCACATATTAAACGGGATCAGAAGATAACTTTTATCCTCTAACAGACTCTCGTTTATTTATTTGACAGTGGAGGACCCGTGGACCAGCATGGGTGGGATTTAATTCAATTCAAGTTTATTTATATGGCGCCAAATCACAACAAGGGTCGTCTCAAGGCACTTCACACATAAACATTCCAATACAGTTCAGGGGCCTCATTTATCAAGCTTGCTTACGCACAAAACGGGGTCGGAAAACTGCGTAAGCAACTTTCCACGCAAACTTTGGGATTTATAAAAGAAAACTTAGCGGAAAAATGTGCACAACTTTAAGTTGACTAAAGGTTGGTTTATGCTTGACGCGTCCGCGAGGTCCGCACGGCTCTGCGCGGAAAAGTTGCGTCATTTTGTGTCATTTTAACAACCATGCCCCTCCACCGTGCCTCCGCATGGCCCAAAATTTCCGCAACTCGCACCTAGGAAATGTTCTAACCACGCGGATGGTCGGACGCGGAAAAACATGGCGGACCGGCAAGAACTAGTATGGCAGAGGTTCGTAAATACAGACATTTGTATGATTCAGCTCTCAGAGATCACCGTGATCAACATGTTGTTAATAATTCTTGGAGAGAAATAGCTCGCACTGTCGGAAAAGACGACGCTATTAAAAACTGCTGAAATGCCATGTTGTAAACAGTCATTTTTACTTCTACTATGGTGTAGTGTTGGATGCATGCTGTAGAGCTCCATGCTTCCCCGTTCAGTTTGGGAGAATATTGGCTCACCGCAGAGACAAGCTGCATGAACCATAAATGTTGCAAATTGTGAAGTGCGTTCCATCCGCAAGCCGCATCACCGCACGTTAAGTAAATGCGTCAAGCATAAACCAAGCTTAAGGACCTAAGGACTAAGGACAAACACACACATACACTCGCAGAGTACAGACGCTTCTGCTTTTGCTCCCTTATCTTTTTTTCCCAAGGCTCTTTGTCCTGTCTGCCTACAGAGCACTTCTCTGCATTTCTTCTGGAAATCCCTATTTTTTGGAAATGGATTTAATTAATTGGTCATTCAACGTGATTGATAAGATCTGTTCTATGATGAGAACGGAGGAGGGGGCTCCCACTTGCCCTCAAGGGACACACGCAGCGGGATATGCGCTAGATTCCTGGAAGGTCTGGAGGATCGTTTGCCTCTCTCAGTTGTCCATTGAGGATGTCGAAGACATGTGGATATTTGGCTTGATGATCACTGGATTTCTTCTGATTGGAGTGGGAGGATATCTGGTTTTCTGAAAATTTGGGGAGACGGGAGAGATTGGAGGGCGACCCGCACCCACAGGACGCACCGCCCGGGTGGTGACCTCACAGACTGGGACGTTACGCGAGGTGAATCGTAAGCTGGACAATGTCCTTGCTGCGTTACCGGTGTTAGTGCGCAAAATGGATGTCATCTCGGAGAGGGTCACCGGACGGTGTGGGGATGATTAGTACCTATATTGGCTTCACTGGAGGACTTGAATGATCAATACAGACTTCAAGGCAGAGAGGAAAATTATCTCTACCTGACCCAAACAAAGTCTTGTTATCCAAATCTGACGCTAAGGCAGCCTTAAGCTGCTAACAACAACCCCCACGAAGGAAGGAATGCAGACAGATGCTGTGAAACCCCGTCCCTAAACCCCCCCACCCCCCACCCCCCCGCGCCTTCAGATTGTGGACTTCTGCCTAGCGAGGTCATCAATCTGCAGGAAACTCAAATGTGCTCTGCGCTCCTCCAAGATCTCCCTCCCTCCTGTGTATACAGCTGGCTGAGCGCCACACAGGGCTGCTCGCCCTGGGGAGACAGGATCCCAGCCTCCCTATCGGAGTCTCATGTTGTGAACTGTGATGTTCGTGCTTATATGTTTGTGGTGTTTTTTTGCATAGTAAAGCTATGCCCTGCCGGGAGTAACCCTGGTATGCCTTCTTTTCCCTCCCCCTATTTATCCTCATGTAATTCCCTTTTCATCTTTTAAGGTAGCGTGACTCATGTTGCGAAGGACCACAGTCACCAATTCTTGTCATGTTTCTTGCCCATGTATGTCTGATCTCTGAATTGTGTGTACTGAAACTCAATTTCATTTCTCTGTATGTCTTGCACATGTGGTAGAATTGACAATAAACTGACTTTGACTTGACTTGACTTGCTTACGCACATTTTGGACATGGAGAGCAATCTGTAATTAAACGGGTGAACTAGTAGTAGCACATTCAATGTCAAAGAGAGGAAAATGTTATTATCAGGAGAGGGAGAATGTTTAAGTGGTTAGCAGCAGTGTGCTAGACGATGGCCCCCTCCATGAGGCCACCACAGCTCAGCAGAACATCGCTGTAGCTTCTTCTGGGGAGAAAAACACTTAGAGAAAAAATAAAGTTAACAGCTGAAATAGCAGGAAATAATACAGTTAATGAGCAGATTGTAGAAGAAAGTAGTCGAGTGTGGAAAGTGGTTAGTATGGTCAGTATGTCCTCTAGTCAGTCCAGCATTTAGACTCCCCATACACACCCATCTGTCCAACACTGTAAAAGTCCCGCCGTGTGAACCAAAACCCAAATTTGGACGGCTGAGGTTAGAGAGCAGTTGCTACCTGGCGTAGTTGACCAGACACAGTAAACTGGTTTCCAGCAGCTGAACCACAGCCAGCGGACCTTCCACCTCCATCAGAGGCTCCTACAGAACAGACAGACCGTTACCCCCTCCCCGTCACTCACACAGTGACAGCTTGAACCTGATGAACTAACTCACCCTGGCGAACACAACAGTCCCCTCTGCGACGGACCGCAGCGTCACGGCTGAACAGTCCAGGCCTCGCAGGAAATGGAAGTAGGCGGGGTCAGTGTTTGGGGGCAGGACGGACCGCAGGAACTCCACATCTGTATCCATAAATACACAGAGCTGAGAAAACAGTTGGAGCATGAGAACATACTTACATCCAAAAACGTGTTCTCTCTCACAGAGATCTACAGATAACCTAATCTAATCCACTTGACATCAGGGTGAGATTAGACCAACAGGTCTGGAGCTCCTTTACTTATCAGTAAAGAACATTTGGACTCATTTGTCTCTCTGTTTCAGTAAAATAACGTTAAATACAAGTTTCAACCGTGAATTATGTGGAGTTACTTTGACCTTTATGGATTAATGACAAACTTTAGAGTAAAGTTGAATAAATACTGATGTAGTAACAGTAATCATACAAAACCCATTTGAAGGTGAGTTTACATTATTGATGATCCACACAAATAGCTCAAAGTGGTCATTTCACTCCTTTAACTCAAGAAAAGTATTAAAGAAAACAAGTGTCAGGATTTTCAAAACCTTAAAAAAATAACAATAAAAGGATTCAAGCACCCGTAAGAACTCGGTACTTCCATCAGCACAAATCATGTCATCCATTCATCTCCTAACCACTTATCGTGGGTAGGGTCAAGGGGACAATCATGTCCTCAACCAGATTCCAAATCATATATAATACTATTTAATATTTATAATGATGTTATTAATTAAATTTTACTTCTAAAGAATGTTAAGTAACAGCAGGTTTAATTATAAGCTTACCACATAAAAACATAATGATCAGCAATTTTCAGTGCAGGTATAGGAATATAGATGTGTTATAAAAGGAGCCTAAGTCACTTCCGGACCACGGGTCCCCGGAAGAACCGAAAGAATGAACGCAAGTCAACGGGGCTAAAAACGCTATTTTCTAATCCCGCTTGTTTTGTGCCATGGATTTCACGTATGATGTCCGTGAATTTTAAAGACACGTTTTGGTACTAAAAACACGGTTATTTTCAAACTGGGGGGAACGCTATTTTAGGTTTTGTGTGAAAATAAGTCCAGGACTACAAATGCGCTTCACGAAAGTGACGTAATCTGACCGGACACGGAGAAAACTGAGGGAAAAGGGCTGTAAGTTCAGTAAACTTCCCACAGGAGGAAAGAACCGCCATAAATCTGGTCATGTGGTGAGTAGCAGCTACGCTAGGGGAGAGGAGATTATGTGGTGACGTCACATATGCAATGTGCCGATTTCTGGTGTGTAGTCATGCTAATTACGAACTTTTACAAGCTGATAAATCTCAAAGTACGTGACTGGCGTGGTCGAAACACCCATCATTACTTTTCATTTAAATTGCAGTACAACATGTTTGATCCAGGGCGTAAGGCAAAGCGGATTAGAAAATAGTGTTTTTAGCCTCGTTGACTTGCTTTAATATATTTCGTTCTTCCGGGGACCCGTGATGCGGAAGTGACTTGGGCTCCCTATTAGTATTTCTGATGTGTTTTAACGGTGTGAAATACATAATTTCTATAAACTTTCTACTTAGAGATTAATTTTAATGTTTCATGATGCTTTTGTTTACTTTGTATAGTCCAGCCCAAATCCAGCATGTTTTATCTTATGTTGTTTCTTATCTGATTCCATTTTCCTGGTTCTTCACTAGACACAGAGTAAATAGAGTTTATTTCTATCTCTTTTGGTGACTTGCTTCGGCTTTCTCTGCAGTCTTCATCAGAAAACTGCCGTTGGTGGCAAAACAAAACAAGAAGCAGAAAGTACAATAGAAACATCAAATTGAAACAAAGAGACATGGACCCAGGACCATGAAACGGAACAAAGGAGTGTACACACTGGACCACTCGTGGGACTTGGAGATCAACGGAGATGGTGCGGGCAGTAGAGGGCGATGTCGATGCCCCAACCCCCAACCACCCAAGAAAAGACTGATTTATTTCTATGAAAATGTCACACAGTAAACGATTATTAAATAAGCATTTTAATAGGCACGTGAAAACAGGAATGACTAAATATAATTGACACTCGTCTCCTTAAAGGGACTTTACAGACTTTTGAATTTTTATGCTCGCTATTGCCCCCTCAGGCCAAAAGCGTAACGGCAGCTTCAATAGTAGGCTCGTGCACGAGGCGCGCATGCTGTACAGGCACACTGAACAAAAATAACAGCTGAGACAGTCCCGCATGTGTGTGTGTGTGTGTGTGTGTGTGTGTGTGTGTGGCCCAGAGGACAGAGGACAGGAGAACATGCAGCTAATTAATTAAATAATGTGGTTCTGTACCTTTCTCTTCAGCACAGCCGACAAATGTTTATGATGGGTCAGTCCTCCTGCATGCTCAGATCATTCCCTTCCCTTGCTTGAAAAATTGTTCCAAAATGAAAGTTGAACCCATATCTTTTTTTATCTGTGAATTCAATGCCGTTCAGCAAGTCTCAAATAAAAATTTGGGCATCTTACTGTAAAAAATATACCATTAATGTAAAAAAGAAACTCTAAATAAACTATGTTCACATCCAGAATTGAACCCAAGTCAACTGCACTACAGTCCAATGTCTTACTAGGTGAGCTACACTCTAGTAACATTCACAGTATCTGTAACTTTTATATCCTTGATGACAGCTGAAACAATATCAAACCAAAGAACGGTTCGGAGTGAAAATGGCTATTTTGTTGCTAATTTGCAGGAAATATCTAGAAGAAAGTTCTACAGAAAGTAGCTAAGGGTCCTCAGAAATGTAGCTAGCTTTGTCACTAGGCGTTAGGAACAGCGACAAAGTGGCACAGCCTCTTGGGCTCGACACACGGGAGGCGACATCGCCTCTCCTCCATTCATTTTCAACGAGACATGCGCGACAAAGCGATGATCGCGGGTCTCTCTCCTACTAAGCGAAACGCGAAAAAGTGCGTGTGAAATTTTGCACTCGTGCACGTGTCGTGCACGAACGACCCAGCGACGCGATCCCAGAAAGTTGAAACATTTTCAACTTTTCATCGCTGTCGCTCGGACGAGGACCAATCAACGAAGGTTTCATTCACTGACCAATGAGCGGACATGATGCTCCGTACATCTCCGAGCAAACATGGAGGAGAAGTTGATTATTATTATGTGTTATAATAAAATCAGAAGTAAGATTTCACATAACTCTAGCAGCATCTTGTGAAGCATCACATCTACCACTTTATTAACTCAGAACCGCTTAAATAACCTTAATTCCCTCCAACCTGACACAGCCAAACTAAACAACGGAAGTTTAGATTTCGCCATGGAACAGAACGCGTAGACGGCTTTGCCGCTGGCCGCGGATCGCCTCCCATGTGTCAGGTAATAAAAGCGACAGCGACAAATTTCGCTGATCGCGGTCGTTTGTCGCCTCCCGTGTGTCGAGCCCATCTCTCTCTGCTGCTAAAGCTACGGATAGCAAATGCTACGGGCGATGCCTGAGCGTGAACGCGCATGAAGCAGCCTGCTCGACCCGAGCATCTCTCTTTTTCTGTGATTTTACAGAAAAACAGGCAATCACAGTAAAAATGCCAGGGCTCATTCTACAGGACCAGGGCATTGCAGGAGAATGTATGAAGAAGACATTTATTATTTCTATACATGTTTTGGCTGTCAAACTTCCATAATGTCCCTTTAAGTTCCCAACAACTCCCACAAGGAGGCAGACTAGTGAGATGTCTCCCTGTTGATCCCTGACTTCCCAGGTGAAAGGTCACGGTTCTGATCCACAGGCAGGAGTGTGGTTGTTAATCAGCTGTTTCATAACTAAGTTCGGTTGAGTTTCCTGATCTCCTCTAGCAGCGCTGCAGCTCAGAGGTAAAGAGACCCCTAACCGTACCCCCTCAACGTTAGAGGTCAAAGTTCGTCTAATTCAGCGATCAGCGGTAGGAGGAGTGGATCTGACCCCGAACCGGTCCGACTCCGGGTCTGGTCTCTGCTCACCTGGCTCCGTGAAGCGGAACCCCCGGAGGAACAGCAGGCAGTCCGTCAGACCCGCGAACAGCGAGAAGCCGCCGCCGAACGGGTTGTCCCTGAAGAAGAGCTCGAACACGGCGGGCTCCCGGTGCCTGCCGGCCCGCCAGTAGGCGTAGGCCATGGTGAACTGGTACAGGTCGGTGAGCAGAGGGGGGGCCCGCTCCCGCACCGAGCGCTCCGTGATCCCGCATGTGGCTCCGCTCGGAGCTGCCATGTTCTCCGGGTCGAGCCGCGTCTCTGGGACTTGCAGTTCCCCAAAGGTCCACTGAGTCCCGGACCCGCGGTGGGTCGGGTTTATCCTGCTCCATGGTTATTGAGCTTTCATCTGAAAACCCGCGAGAGGATCTGCTGCAGCCGGTTCTATTCTTACCAGACATTCATTTATGTCAAACAGAATTAATTTAGTAAGAGTCTAGAGTTGGAGTCGGCTAAGAAATGTGTTCAACAACCAAAATTACTGCAACTATTTAACTCATCTGCAAAGAAACACAGAAAATCAACAGTAAGCTCACTTTGACCAGTTAATGTAGTTTATTCTCTGACTTTTCCAGGAGCTGATTTAAAAATAATCACAACTGAGACGTGTTTACAGTTATATTTGTGATCAGAAGCAGGATAAAACAAATTCAGACCAATAATTCAGAAAGGACATTTTCTGAAGAAAACGTTACTGTTTATATCACAGATGAGGCACGTCCAACGTGTGGCCCCCATCAGCAGGCTGCTGGACATGTAGATCAGGGGCGTCCAACCCTGCAGGACACTTCTCTGCTTTAGGACACCTGACTCAACAGCCGAGTCATCTTTTCAGCATCATCAAGCGCTGCAGAAGCATGTTAACCACCTGTTGATTAAAACCAGGTGTGCTGAAGCAGAAGATGCCGGATGGCCCTGGAGCTCCAGGGAGCGTCACCCCGGATTCACAGTCACACATAAGGTTTTTATATCAAGATATTTTTTATATGTGGCCTGCAGAGCTTTTACACCACTGGGAAAGGTAATCTTTTACCAAATGCAAGTTTCTATTTGCTATAGTCGTCTTCATCCGCTCAGACGCTGCTGCTGGTTTCCATCTTTCACCACAGGTTTGGTTTCTGTCTCCTGAATCAGAAAAGAAACGACAAAACCAGCAGTTTGATTTCACCTGCACCTCTGCTTTTCGACCACTAGGGGGAGCACTGGGTTGATCTGATGCTGATGGAAGGTGATGCACTGATTTTTAAACCACCAGAAGTAAAGAAGATGCTTTCGGGGCGTTTCACGAACTAACATTCCTCTCTTAAGAGATTTCAGATTTTATCCCTGTTCTCCCTGCTGCCCGTTGCCTTCCTCTCCTGCAGGGAAATATCGTGCCAGCTCATTGGTTAATGTGTGCTTCTGTCGTCTCCAGAGAAAGTGTGTTGGCTGTCCCGCCTGGCCGCTCTCTGGTGGATAAACAAAAAACGAGCTGAGCTCGATGGCCAGAGCCGACCTGATCAGTCCGACACCCCCCGAGCGTTCCGAGGAGGGGTGATAAACTCGGCCGCTGGTCGGATGCATGTACAGCGCCTCTGGTTGGAACGGGACAGTCAACTTCTCTTCACCGCCGCAGTATGACAGCAGCTTCTGTTCTCCGGTGGGTCCCTGTGGTCCCGCAGGGCTCTGCAGCAGGTGTGTGAAGACCACCGGCCGGTCGTCGCAGCACAGGAAGTTCCTCTCCCTGCCGCACAGCGACAGGAAGGGGAAGTCCTCCTCGTAACGCCCGCTGCGATTCAAACGCAGGCGGCTGAAGAAGAAAACCAGGAACTGCTTATCTGCAGAGATAAAAGTACAAAAACACCAGGTAGACAGCACAGTTAGATTTTTATTATAATTTTTATTTATTTTTTAATGTATTTTTGCATTTATTAATTTTATTTATTTTATTATCATTTTTAATGTATGTGTCTGTAGTTTTGGGTGTTAGTCTTTAAAACTTCAGGCTTTTTAGTTTGGGATTTTTGTTCTTCCTGACTTTGTTCTTGTTTTTATTCCAACCTGACTTATGTGTTCCGTGTTGAAGTACAGGAAGCTGGAACCTGACCACTCCATCGTGTGTGTTGAAAATATGTATTACTTAGAGGCCGACCGATATGTTTTTTTAAGGCCGATACCGATTTTTAAAAAAATTTGTTGCAGATGGGCTAGGGATGAGCACCTTTGACATTTGAATAAATTCCGTACTAATTCCCGGTACCTAGGAATCGATACCGGTACTTAACGGTACCAATTTTAGATACTTTTGAGTGTTTAATATTTTAATTCTCTTTTATAATAAAATATTTTTCTCAATATATAACCATATTTGATAAATATCACGATAAATAACATACAACTGTTTGTATTTTAACATCGTCCTTGTAGTTTTATAAGCTGATAATTAAACTGAAACAAACATCTTTACTGTGAACTAAATTTACTGTGTATCTTCATTCTTTTTGCCGTCTTTTTTCATTTGATTTTTCCTACTGGGAAGTTAGAATTTCCGAGGAGAAAGCAAACGCACCACTAGCTGATAACAATGGTGGCAATGGAAGCTAATTTATCAAGCTAACGTTATCTTAAACAGTTGTCGCTGGTTTCGTCTTCACCCAATCACCCGTCGCATTTAGTAAAGTGAAGCCAAACTTAAGAGCGCGTTCATGTTCTTCTACTCGGAAATTCGGAGTTCCGAGGAGAAAGCGAACGCACCATTAGCGGAACGGAAGCTAACATATCAAGCTAACGTTATCTTAAACATTTTATTTACCTACCGGAGCAGATTAAGATGAGGATGTCTCACTTAGATCGTTGTCGCTGGTTTCATCATCACCCAGTTAACCATCACATTTAGTGAAGTAGACCCAAGCTTTAGCGTGCGTTCTTTCTACCATGCTGCTCTGTTTACAACTGGCTCGCAGTGACCGACGACAACGCTCTTGCGCATGCGCTGCTGTCTAGGCAAGATCTCGTTATGAAGGACGGGTACCAAAACGAGGCACCGTTTCAAATGACGTGAATCGGTGCTCAGTCGGTACTATGGAATTTGGTCGGTACCTTAAAAAGTACCGAATTCGGTACCCATCGCTACCGATGGCCAATATTTAAAGCCGATTATTAACTCACTCACTGCCATTGACGACTAAAGTCATCATTTTAAATCCAACCGTCATTTTTTTTATTGTGTGGGCGTCGGACGAGCCCCCGCAACGTGAGAACAAACATCTCAGCTCTAAAGCCGATCTTCATCCGCATACGTCACGTGATCAGGAAGCAGAACATCCATGTGTTAGAAGATAGTTTTGGGCCGCTGCTGTAAAAAAAGTGAGGCTTAAACCGGAGAAGCTTCTGCCGATCACAATTCAACAACGGATTATGAAAGAACGGATAACGCTCGAAATGCGCGGATTCTTCCTGATGTAAGAGGTGAGTCTCCTCTTTGTTATGGAGTCAACATCATCCTAGCGCGCAACGTTCTGTCACTCTTAAAAAAAAATTTAAAAACGGTGAGAAACACTGGCAGCGAATGAGTTAAGGCTGATATATACACGTTTTAGCAGCACACTGATTGTGAAAGACAACTGGACACACTGTGTGCAATATAAATTAAATAAGTCAATAAATACCATATTGAACTCAAAGCATAAAAAAGGTGTGTTGGGGCCCTTCGGGTCCTTTCTTCAGTCTAGTAGTGGCAGCAGTTGGCCACACAGATACCTGATTTATTTGTATTGACTTTTCGGCCGATACGGAAAAAAAATTAATAAATCGATCGGCCTCTAGCACTACTATATATATTTAGTCAGTTGCCATGGTGATTATGTCTACTTAAACAATAGGTTAAGGCATCTAACATAATTAGCATGTTTTTAATCAATCAGAATAAAAAACTTCTCACCTTTGAAGCAGGTGACAAAGTTTTTCACTTTAGTATCATCGAGGAAAAGCTGCAAAAATCACCAGATGGTTTACTAACAAACATTTATGGTATGATGTGTTTGAGTCAGTGCACATTCTCACCTGTCCTTGGTGGTCGATGTAATAAAAATACTCCCGGATGTTAGATTCGGGGCTCTGGCCCTGGATGTATGAAGCGGCTCCCCTGCAGACGCTGTAGCCGCCGGTTAGGCAGCGCAGAGCGGCCAGATCTCTGCAGCCGGACGCCGCCGTCCGGAGGAATAACATGACCTCGGTGGAGGCCAGAAACCATCTGGTTTAAACGAAGAAAATACAACAACCCGAATAAAAGCGACACAAAGTATTTTGTCCGCAGGATGCAACTAAAGTCCGCTTGAGTGTAGATTGTTTACAAAACGCGGAGGCGACCCGGAAGTGCTCAATGACCTTTAAACGTGTTTATCAGGTTTCACATACTGCCCCCTGCTGGTCAGAAGCCACTACAACGTCAGGACTTTGGAGTTTGTTTTTAATTGTTGATAAAGCAGAAAGTCTTTCTGACCATATAAATATCTGATTGAATCACACATTTCATCTAGGCTCTAGGTGATGTGTGTGTGTGTGTGTGTGTGTGTGTGTGTGTTTTGTAAAAGCACTCTGAAGATGAAAACTGTCTTTTCCCCAATATTTTTGGTTTTAGCAGAATTTCCCACAGGCTATTTACAACAAGGAAGGCATGTTTTTTGTTCCAGAAACCAAAAAAAAAAAAAAAAAAAAAAAAAAAAAAAAAAAAAAAAAAAAAAACAACCTCAATGTGTCATTTGCATTGTTGATTACTTATCATTTTGCCCTATATATATGTGTGTGTGTGTGTATATATATATACATATATGTATATATGTATACATATATATGTATATATATATATACATATATATGTTGGCAAAAGGAGATCTGAGGCACTCAGGAGGTACAAAAATAAAAAGCCTTTATTAGTACATGGCTTAAATTGTTAAAAACATCAATGCCAACGCGTTTCAGCCCACAGGGCCTTCATCAGGGCTCAAAATGGTTGTATACTCACTCACCCCCATGTTAAAAAGGCCAATCAATGACACCTGCCAAAGCTGGGCAGGTAGACTGCATTCTGATTGGATGGCCAGTACAACACAAAAACTTTTTACATCTAAACAATCCTATTGTAAGGATGAATACTTACAAATATGAAATTTCACTTCTAGAATTTGAGAAAAAATTATAAATATGGTACACAAATTGTAAGAAAACATGAGATTATAGATAAGGAGCTAAATCTAATTCTCCATTAAGACCTGGGAAATTAGTAGCTTTTAGTGTGTAAATCCAAAATGATTCTCTTTGCAAGAGTTTTTTAAGCCTATCTCCTCCTCTAATTGAATTTTTTATATGTTCAATCCCTGTGATTTTAAGAGAGTTACAGCTTCCATGATTTGTGTCTTTATAATGCACTGCCATAGGATATAGATGATTACCAGATCTGATTGCTTGTTTGTGCTCTGCAAGTCTTGCTTTTAACTTGCGTTTAGTTCTTCCAATATAGAAGCAACCACACGGGCATTCTAGTCTGTAGACCACGAACGAAGTATTACAGTTGATGAATGTATTAATGTAAAAAGTACGTCCTGTGAAAACATCAGCAAAACAGTTAGTGTTAGTCATGTTGTCACAGTGAACACAATTTCCACATTTATAGTTGCCTTTTCGAGTTGATAACCAGGTTTTTTGTTGCTGTGGAGGAAGGTGACTTTGAACAAGTTGATCATTTAATGTTGGGGCTCGTCTGAAGCTGATAGTAGGAGTATCTGGGAGCGCTTCCCTAAGAACACTGTCACTTTTCAGTATGTCCCAGTTTTTTGTAATTATTTTTTTGATCTTGTGGGCTTGATCACTGAATTGGGTCACAAAATAAACACCATCTGATCTTTGTTGGTTCTTCTCTTTAGGTACCAATAGCTGTTCTCTTGGCAGGCTTTTAGTCTTATTATACGCTTTGAGTATCGTTCTTTGCTGGTATCCTCTTGTTGTAAAGCTCTGGCCCATAACTGTAGCATTTCTTTCAAATTCTTCTTCTGTGTCACAAATACGTCTAAGTCTTTGAAACTGACCAGTGGGAATGTTGTTTATTAACCATGATGGATGGAAACTGTCTGCTCTGAGGATTGTATTACGGTCAGTAGGTTTTCTAAAAATAGAAGTGTGTAAATCTCCATTATCAGATTTTGAGATTTTTATATCTAGGAAATTAATTTCTGATGAGGAGAAGTCTAGGCTGAGTTTCAAACTTTTGTTAGTTTTGTTAAGATATGAATGGAATTGAAGTAGTTCTGATTCTGAACCAGACCACAGCAGAATAATGTCGTCAATGTATCTTCCCCACCACATCATCTTATCAGCATAGACATTACGATCAGAGTATACATATGTTTCTTCCCAAAGTCCCATAAAAAGATTAGAGTAATTGGGTGCAAAGCATGCTCCCATTGCTGTACCTTTTTTCTGTCTAAAAAATTGGTTCTGAAACAGAAACACATTGTTACATAGAGTCCACTTCGCCAGCTGAAGGATGAAAGAAGAAGGAGGCATATCTTCTGAATGTCTTTGGTCCAGGTAATAGGTTAGTGCTTCTAGTCCTTCTGTGTGGTCAATGTTAGTGTATAGCGCCTCCATATCCATAGTAACAAGAAGTCCAGGTCCTATGTTCCTTATATCATTCAGTTTGTTCAGTACTTGAGTAGTGTCTTGAACAAAAGAAGGCAGTTCAGAAACAAATGGTTTAATGAAAAAATCTACAAACTGTGAGGCTGGTTCTGTGATTGATTCATTGCCACTAATTATTGGTCTGCCTGGTGGATTCTCCAAGTTCTTATGGATTTTAGGGAGCATGTAGAAGGAAGGAATTCTTGGGTGCTCATTCAGTAGAAAGTCATGTTCTTTTTGTGAGATCCATTGTTCATTTTTAGCGTGTAAAAGCATCTCCTTAAGTTCAGTCTTTATTTGCTCTGTTGGATTCATTTGAATGTGTTCATAGTATTCACTGTTATCCAACTGTCTCTTAGCTTCTGTGACATATTGGTCTCTGCCCCACACAACTACCGCTCCTCCTTTATCAGCTCTCTTGATGATAATGTCTTCATTAGCTGATAACCTCTTAATTGCATCTCTTTCTTTGCTTGTGAGATTATGCTTCGTTTTATTTTTAGATGCAAAGAGTTGATCAACTTCTTGTGTAACTTTTTTGTAGAAGACATTCAGAGTCTGATTACATATGTTGGGTATAAAGGTGGACTTGGGTCTGAATGGGGTTCTCCCACCATCTTGCTGTATATGTATATGTACATTAAATGATCAACTTGTTCAAAGTCACCTTCCTCCACAGCAACAAAAAACCTGGTTATCAACTCGAAAAGGCAACTATAAATGTGGAAATTGTGTTCACTGTGACAACATGACTAACACTAACTGTTTTGCTGATGTTTTCACAGGACGTACTTTTTACATTAATACATTCATCAACTGTAATACTTCGTTCGTGGTCTACAGACTAGAATGCCCGTGTGGTTGCTTCTATATTGGAAGAACTAAACGCAAGTTAAAAGCAAGACTTGCAGAGCACAAACAAGCAATCAGATCTGGTAATCATCTATATCCTATGGCAGTGCATTATAAAGACACAAATCATGGAAGCTGTAACTCTCTTAAAATCACAGGGATTGAACATATAAAAAATTCAATTAGAGGAGGAGATAGGCTTAAAAAACTCTTGCAAAGAGAATCATTTTGGATTTACACACTAAAAGCTACTAATTTCCCAGGTCTTAATGGAGAATTAGATTTAGCTCCTTATCTATAATCTCATGTTTTCTTACAATTTGTGTACCATATTTATAATTTTTTCTCAAATTCTAGAAGTGAAATTTCATATTTGTAAGTATTCATCCTTACAATAGGATTGTTTAGATGTAAAAAGTTTTTGTGTTGTACTGGCCATCCAATCAGAATGCAGTCTACCTGCCCAGCTTTGGCAGGTGTCATTGATTGGCCTTTTTAACATGGGGGTGAGTGAGTATACAACCATTTTGAGCCCTGATGAAGGCCCTGTGGGCTGAAACGCGTTGGCATTGATGTTTTTAACAATTTAAGCCATGTACTAATAAAGGCTTTTTATTTTTGTACCTCCTGAGTGCCTCAGATCTCCTTTTGCCAACATTTATGTGGATCCCTTGGCTGAAGAGCACCAGTGAGAGCACCAGATAAGATTTCTCACACCCCTGCAGCACTTCCAGCATTTTTTCTATATACATATATATGTATGTGTGTGTGTATATATATATATATATATATATATATATATATATATATATATATATATATATACACACACACACATATATATATACATATATACATTTATATATGTGTATATATACATATATATATGTGTATATATACATATATATATACATACATACATATATATATATATATATATATATATATATATATATATATGTATACATATACATATATATATATATATATATGTATACATATATATATATATATATATATATATATATATATACATATACACATATATATATATGTAGTAGTGGAATAAATTTTTAATTATGACCAATAAGATGTGATGATTCCATATGAATATGAAATATCAACCTGATTGATCTTTGAATGTTTAATCAGAACATTCTAGGGTTCTTTGCTTCTTTAGGGACCATGAACACACTTCGTATTAATCCAGACAGTCAGTATATAGTTTATAAAATTCATTTAAATATTTTTCCTCAACTAACAACTTATACATGAAAATGCCCATTTCACAGCAGAAATAAACATGCCTGGTTTAAAAACATTTAGGTTTAATAGATCTACTTTACATTCATGACAACTCTGAGGGGCTGACTTATTTTGTAACTCTTCTGTTTAGGTGTAATTAAATGCTTGAAATTATGAACAATTAGATTTGATTGACAGGTAGCATGAGCGCCTCCCACCGACCTCACCTTAAAAGATCATTCAATCAGTTTTATTTATACACCATACCAACTTTATTTACAAAGCACATTTAAAAACGGCATGGCAGACGACCAAATGTACAAATGATTAAGGTAAAATGCAACATAAGAACAAAAACACAATATAGCACCTATACCACCATCTTGTTGGGAGGCCCAAGGTGCAGAACAGCCCATATAAACAGGGATAAACACGGCATATGAGAGTCAAAGTGATAAAATAAATAGAAAAGTAAAAGTAATCAAAAACCATACAGTACAAAAGGTAAAAATACAAAAGCCAGAGTCAACAATGTTGGGGGAAAGCTAGAAGATAAAGTTTTCAGGCAAGACTTAAACTCCTGTAGAGAAGGAGCTTGCTTCTCTGCCAGAGGGTACTCATTCAGGGGCCATGGTTGGCCATGTTGAGTCTCTGAACTCCAGTTGTGTCCTGTGGTATTGCATTTACGGATCATCCAAGGAGTCTCTGCTTCTCCTCTAAAAAACAAAGTAGTTTCTTTTTTGTCGTTAAGTAAATTTATGTTTCCGTAGTCTACTTTATTTCAATAGTTGTAATAGGTAAAATGTTGTGCATTTAACATAACACTGCCTGGTCAAAATGGGATGAACTACAAGAAACAACCTTTTACACAGCGCCTCTCCAGATAAAATTCACGAGATGCTTCACAAGAACAAAATAAAATAATATATATTAAAAAAAGTTTCAAAAATTGATTTAAAAATATTAAATCTGTGGAGGACTCTTCCTGCAAAAATAGACAATAAATAAATGAGAAAACAAATAAATAAATGTGGAAATACAATGTAAACATGTTTAATAAAAAAAATTACAACAGAGGCCAATCTTCATTTTTATTTTTTTGTTCCCAATTTTACATCGTCATGACTTTTTTATGTGCATTTTTATTTCCTCATTATTTTATTTATGTATTGTCTATTTTGGCAGCAAGAGTCTTCCATACTGCTGTAGTTGGTGTTGGGAGACTAACTTCAGGAACAGCAGCCGCCTGCAGACAGCACCCACCAGAACCAGAACCAGAACCAGAACTCCACTCAAACCCGAAACCTCCGAGTTGGAGCTCCAGTTGAGAGGGAACCTGCTCCAGGTGTCTCTTCCGCCACCTCCTTCCTCCAGGTAGGGTGGAGCAGTTTCTACCTGAGCCGCGCTAACCCAACCCGCTCAGCTGCAGCTCTAGCGCGGACCTCCAGACGTAACGACTCACCGACCTCACCGTGAGTTTGTTTTCGGTAAAACCGTCAAGAGTTATCTGTGATTTTAGCTAATTAGCTAAGGTAGCCTTCGGTCCAGTCTACGTCATCGTTGAAGTTAACTCACTCCTTTTGAAAAATATTTGCATTTCACATTTTTATCTCACGCTTATTTGACGTGTGTCTTTTAAAATGGTTAAAGTGGAAAACAAGTTGTACTTTAGTTTCGTTACGTTTTTTACGTCGGTACGTAACTTGCGTAAAAAGAGCAAGTCTGTGCGTCGCTAGCTACAGCATCAAGTTTATAACCTGTACGTACATTTTAGTGACTGTTTATGTTGTGTCAGAAATTAAATGTACAGATTTTGTTGTTTTTAGTTTTTTTACGCGTTTTACGTCAATACGTATTTTACGTAAACAGCGTAGATCTTACATTATCTGTTGTTTTTATTATCGTTTTTTATATTTTGAAGTAAAAGTTCGATAATGTTACGTGTCACGTGTCCGAACTTCCCTCATCCGGTCACCGATGTGGTTTTCAGGTTGTTTTAAAGTCGTTTCTGAGCCACTTCCGGTCAGCAGGCATGAGTTCCAACCGGGAACACCGGGAGAGAAACGGAGAGCGGCGCACCCGCGCTCACGACCAGCGGTCCCGTCCTGACAGGTGGGTTCGGTGGCAGAAAACGTTCCGAACAGAACCAACCTCTTTAACGCAGACGGCTTTTTGCTGACATTTGTATTGAAATAAACTTTATTGCGCTGATAAAATAAAAATTAGCTAACGCTTTTGTGAATAATGCAAAATTTTCTGTTTGAAACATTGATTTTTTATGTATGCCTTCATGTTTTTTTCAGATTTTAAATGAATATTTTACATAATTTTACATTTGAATCATAAATGTTCAGTTAAGCTGACTTTACTCCAGTTGTACCTTCATCAGGACTAATCACACATTTGGCATCTGAAATAATCTCTTTAAACATTCCCATCCACCCACTTTCCCCCTCTTCATTTAAACTTTTTATTTCCAAAGCACCAAATTTTCCTAATTATATTGAGCAAAAGTCAGTGAAATTCTTAAATTAGCCTAATTTCAGCAAAGGAAAGAGGAGCAATGAATGCCTGCACAGTAAATACGATGCCACTGAAAGGCTAAAACATTTCACATTATTACATTTGGTTACCTATAAATAATAAAAGATTTATGTTTCTTACATTTCAGAACACGAAAAGTCTCTACAGACGTAAATCATTAGTTTTGCATTTATAGAAGGTTTAAAAAAGCAGCAGTTTCTCATTTTGCTTGAGCACTGATTAAACCCGTATGCTCTGAGTTCCCCGTTTGTGCCAACGGTCCTGGAAGTGGAGCTGAATCTGAATTAGAAACTATTTTACGTGAAACATTTGTAAACCGAGGTTCCCTTGTTGTCTTCAGCAGTAACCGTCTCTAAAATATTGTAAACCTCAGGAATTGTATGTCTTAAACACAAAAACTGTCTCACTGAGGGATGCAACGATACCCCTTCTTTTCCAAACAGATGCGATACCGATTCTTGGTTCTGAGTACTCGCCAATACCGATTACTGATACCGATACTTCTACCACACTAAAAAAATGCAATGATTTGGAATACAGACTTTATTTTCTTCTCTGCTTTCACAGGAAAAGACTGTGAGGTAGATAAAAAGTAAAATATTTGGACAGAAATCATCACAAAACTAAAATATCAGGTGAACAGAAATGACAAGTTACAGTGAAGCCATTTTCAAGCAACTGCATTGGTATCGGTTCCTGGAATTGGCACCGATACCAGTATCGGTGTTGATTCCAGTATCGTATCGGTGCCGACAACGATTCCAGTATTGGTATCGGTTAACTTTTACCGATACTGGATTCGGTATCATCACCGATACCGATACTGGAATCGGCACCAATGCCAGTATTGGTATCTGTGCCAATACCGATTCCAGTATTGGTATCGGTTAACTTTTACCGATACTGGATTCGGTATCGGCACCGATACCAGTATCGGTATCGGCGCCAATGCCGATTCCAGTATTGGTATCGTTAACTTTTACCGATACCGATACTGGAATCGGTATTGGCACCGATACCAGTATCATTGCATCCGTAGTCTCACTGGTTTCATGTACTTTTTAGAAGTGTTTGAGGACTGAACATCAAACACAAGTAGTTTTTATATCAAACAGAATAAAATGTCTTTTCTGTGACAAAGCAGAAGGAATAACATCCAGCTGTTGATGATCGATCTCGTCTTGTGTTCCAGCTCCTCCTCTCGGCCTCCTCACTATCCCCGTGACTCGCACCACCGGTCCACACAAGAGCGGGACGCCCCGCGGGGGGGACGCGACGAGTCCAAATGCACCCACGTCTGTTCCAGGAGAGGTAGGCCGACGCTCCGGTGAAACGGCGCAGGAATTTCCTCCAGATGCTGCGTCAGACCCGAGTTTCAGGGCAGATTTAGTTCTGTGAAAACTGGACCGACCGGTTGCTGAGGTTAAGCAGAACGGAGCTTCTGAGAACAGAAGAAGTTCATTAAAGAGCAAGTTCACTGAGAAACAAGTTTTATTCATTTTTTAAAATGACCAGTTTTTCGTGCAGGCAGAACATGAAAATAGTCTCCTACACCTACCTCCTGCATCAGCTTCTGATAGAAAACAGACGGTGAAACTCTAGGATTAGAAAATCTTGACAGATCTACGTCACCCTGTCACTAACATTCATCTGGACTCACGACGGGGAAGGCTGTTGTTGGTGTAGTGTCCAGGAAACAGCAGAGAACGTCTCTGCTGGTAGAAGCTAACTGTTAGCATTAGCAACTCCACCACACAGCAGAACTCCTCCATGCTTGTGTTGTTTGTGGAGATAAAACATAAATGTTGCAAAGCAAACAGTCAGTGGTAGAGTCATGCTGCTGTTAGCCAATCAGAGGAGAGATGTCCACATATCAGGAAATAAAACTCCAAATTCTGCCGTCTGAAACTACGTTCTCCTCCAGCTTAATTCTCCATCCTCAAACAGGTGCACCGGAGCTTTTTTTCCCCAGTATGTGACTTACAAGATGTTAATTCCTACTAGAGATCGCTGCAAATGCATTAGAAGTGAGTAAAGTTGACCGTTAAAAACTCGCTAAAGACTAATAAAAGGATCTATAATTCTGCATGTGCCATCTAAGTTAATCCAGAGTAGAAAACACCTGTTTTTGGTTTTATGACATTAAATTCTTAGTTTTTAAAATCTTGTTTTGACATGTCGACCGTTCTTCTCTTCTGCCCCGTGTTCCGGTCAGGCATCGTGCTGATCTGCGCCGTCCTGACCAACGCCCTGGTCCTGATCTGCGTGATTGCAGCTCAGATGGTCGTGTCGGGCGTGTCCTCCATGGGCGGCATGGGCACCTTCAACATCAACTCCGACTTCAACATGCAGGGCACCGAGCTGCAGCAGGCCCGGGACCTGGACGTGCAGTACAGCCAGATGAGGGCACCGTGCATCTATGGGGGGATCCCCTTCAGCCTGGCCTTCGGGGTGGTCTCGCTCCTGTTTGTGGTGGCCGGGAACAAACCCGCCTACCTGATGTCTCGGAAGCTGCTGATGGGACAGGCGGTGTTCCAGGCGGTCGGCGCCGTGGCCTACGTGGTGGCGGTCGGCCTCTACATTCACTTCGTTATCACGGTCAACTCAACTGACGTGTGCAAGCAGCGCGCCATCCTGTACGCGCGGAGAGGCTACACCTGGATGAACTGCGACGTGAGCGGGGGGGACGCGGCCGTGGCTCTGTTTGGGCTCGTCACCGCCATCCTGTACACCGCCGGCGCCGTGCTCACGTTTCAGACCATCAGAGGAGTGAGGCGCTACCTGGAGGAGCGAGATAGACGAGCAGCAGAGGAGGCGACGTCCCGGGGAAGCGCCCAGAGAGCCCCGCTGAAGGCAGAAACCACCTTCGTGTGAGCAGAACTGGCTCGGTTTGGGTCTGAGAACACACAAAGGCGCTTCAGATCCATTACAGCCGCTCCAGATGAGAGGATCAAGTTGGAATGTGAAAGAACCCCCATTTTCCACTTTTTCCTGCCGTGGATTCAGAAACTGTTTACCAGGATCCAGGTCGACTCAGGTGCAATGACCTCATGTAACATTGTTCTGTGACTCTGATGTGACGGACGACTCTGCTCCAGGTGAGAAAGAGCAAAGACGAGTTTGCTTTTCTCCAAAAGCGACGAGGACTCTCTAGTTGTAATCACAAATGCCTTTTTCTACAAACCACAGCTGTTGAATCAGGATTTTACTTCATGTTTAACACAAATGATTCATTTTTAAAGTTGATTTTTTTACTTTTAAACTTTGTAGTTTTGACAGAAGCATAAATCTGTATATTAGATCATTTAGATGTTTATTTTAATATTTGCTAATCAGTGACACCAACTGGGCCTGATTATCTAATAAATCGTGTTTTTATAGGCAGGAGGAGCTACGTTTGTATTTTTGTCTCCATAATGAAGCGTTTCATCTTTCTGATTCAAACTTTTGAGATTCTGATGAAAAAGCTGTTTTGTGACGAACGGACTCACCAGCAGGGGGCGTGAGGACCCCCTGCAGGACCCTTTGCACCAACGTCACCTAATCACGTGGGTCCACCATGGTGGACGGCAAAAGCATGTAAACAGTGAGCGACACCATTACTAAACAAAGGGAAAAGTAGAGCCTGAAATTGTTTTTGCGATCAAAACAAAAACAAAACTCCTCCAGCATTCCTTCCACTAGTCCATGCCCAGTTCAGTTATCAGAAGTAGCGCATCTAGCGGTATGCTAACTAGCTTACCAACGTTAGCTTACGTTCTCTCTGCAGCTGTTCACCGATGTAAACATGTTGCTGACTTTGCCTAAATTCACCCCTCTGGATTTATAACTTTATGTTGTTAACAGCGTTTCACTTTACACCAAAGCTGATTGTTAGAAAGTCCGGATCCCTACCAGCTTCTGTTGCTGGTGGTGTTACCGGGTTCAGCTGCTGCTCTCACACCGGAATGAGATCTCTGAACGGCGACGCTCATATAAATAAATAACGTCATTTTAACACACGTAATCATACATCGGAGCTTTAATATTGTTAATTGTCTCGCTTTACACTACAGTGGACGGCGCGCAGCCTCCGTGGTGAAATACCCGTCCATCAGGATCAATAACTAGTATAAACCCATCACATTTATCCCTGTCCCTGTCTTCCCCGTCAAATAAATGAACGTTAATCTTACCCGGTAAAAAAGAATGTTCGCTGCAAATCTGAAGGCTGCTAATCCGCTAGATTGATTGATCGCTGCAGTTCATCTCCGCCCTCGGTCTCCATCAGTTATTAAAAAGAAAAACGAGTTGAGTTTACGTCCTTGTCTGTTAGTGCAGCCGACCACGCAGCAAGCTAAAACCATTTTACTGTCAAATCAACTAAATAAAAGCCGTAAAAGGCTACAAACTGGCTTGTTTTGACTACCTTCACTGGAGTTTAAGCGGTCTTTTTGCCTTCCATCATGGCGAAGGCGGTGGTCACATGAGTGGCGTGACGTCACGTGCAAAGGGTCTCTGCAGACCCGCAGATTCAGGCTTGTACTTTTTTTTGAGACAGCGCTCTCTAAAGGACAAACGTGTAACTGCAACTGCAGATTCAAGGCTGCAGACTTGGACACTGCAGATTCACGCCTGCTGCAGATTCAAGCTTCTACTGTTTTAACAGTTCTTGGTTGGAAGGCAAGCAAACAGCCGTCTCAAAACAGTACAAGCCTGAATCTGCGGTCTCCGGGTTTGCAGCGATACCCTTCTCGCAGGACCGAGCTGTCCCCGCCGGTCTCCTCCTTCCTGCCAGTCCTGACATCAGTGCCGTCACACAAAGGAGCACACATAAAGTGGGACAGCCGTGATGTAAGAGTTCAGTCAAAACCGGATTAGAAACAAAAGAAATCCCAAACTCAAACGCCACTCGTGCATTTTCAGAGTGGGGATTGTTTCACTGCAGAGAAAACATGTTTTTGTATCAGTCTCTTCCAGCTCAAACCGGTTTTAGGTCAGATTTCAGTTTTTTAGTGCTTGAATAAGAATCCTGTGAGAAAACGTGCAATTTCATCAAAGCTTAAACACGTTTTTGACAAAACTTTCCTCAAGAAACCAAAGCGAACAGTTTGAGTTTATCTGAAAACTTTATTATTTAGCAAAAGTATCTGTTGTGCTCTTCTGGCGAAGTCTAGCGCGGTTCTGAGGAGGATCCCGGAGCTGTGAGGAGCTCCCACCACCGCAGCCCGCCACAGCCGGAGAACACCCGCCTTCAGGAATAATCTTTTCTCTCAGAGAATATTAGTAGCCTCAGTGACTAGCTCACTTTAAAGGAATAAACTCCTAAGAGTTGGTTAAACAGTCACTAACTCCAACAACTTTAAGGCTCTCAGCAGCGACGTCAACAGCAAACAAAAACAAAGTGGTGTGAATGTAAACGTACCGTTTCAGAAACTCGAACACAAAGTGCTTTTTCAGACGGTGGAAAATCTGCAGGTCAGCATTTCATCAGTTACAGAAATTGCATCGAGCTTTGAGGTGAGATGAGAATAAAGAATAAACGAAAAGCTTCTCGTTTGAAGTTGTGTTTAGAGACGACCCCCGCCCTGACAGTAGCTCGGGATGAAGATGCTGATGACGACGATGATGGAGGCGGAGGTTAGATTAGAGAGGCGTGACGAAGTAGTCGGCCGGTCTCTGGTAGGCGTGCGTTTGCTGGTTGTGTGTCTGCATCTGTTCCTGCTGCTGGATGATCTGACGGACCTCCTCTTCCAGCTCCGGAGGGATGATCAGCTGATCCTCCGGGTCTGGCTGGGCCGGAGCGTTGAAGTAGCCCCCCTGCTTCTTGACGGGCGCGTCTGCAGCCTCCTCGATCAGATCCTGGTTCCGGCCCTGGCAGGCCACAGAACCGTTGGCTCGAGCCCTCCGGCCCAGAGTTCCGGACCGCACCTCCCCGCTCAGGCAGGGGGAGGGGGGAGGGACGGGGGAGGGAGACAAGGATGTGAAAGACGGGGGGAGGAGCTCGTTTGCAGATGTGACTGGAGGAGGTTTGCTTGCGCTAGCGGCGTGAGTGTGGGCGCAGTCATGACGGAGCAGACAGTGGACGTCGGCCTCCACCTCCACCCGGCTGCCGTTGGAGAAAACGCCAGCGATGGGCTCCTCGTCCTCGCTGTCCAGCCCGTTGTCGGACAGTGCTCCGGAGAACTGCCTCTGGAAGCTCCCTCCTGCACAGGCGGCTCTCCGTGCTCCAGCCCGACCCTGGGCGTTCGGGTGGGAGGGAGGTTCGGTCTGAGGCGGCGGCTCTTCTGAGGACGCCGTGGATCCCACTTCACTGCTCATCTCAGACATGCTGAACTCGCTGCTCAGCTCGCTCACGGTTCCAGAGGAGGCGGGCGGCAGAGGAATCCCGCCGTCGTTGCTGGACGAGTACGGATGGGAGGTGGGCTGGCCCGGGCCGGGGCTGGGCGGTGGCTCACAGAAACAGCAGCAGTCTTCGGTGATGCTGAGCCGCACCACGACGGCGCTCAGGCTGTCGGAGCAGCCGTAGCTCTGAGCCAGCGTCACCAGCTTCTTAGCAGCGGCGAGCGCGTCTGGAACATTCCGGACCGCCTCGATCGCCTCGCTGGGAGACATCAAATCCCACAACCCCCGGCTGCCCAGGAGGAAGAACTCGTCTTGTGGGTTGAGCGCCACCGTGGCGACGTGAGGGCGGGGCGTCACAGAGGGACAGAGGAAGGAGTAGCCCATCATTCTGGTAGAATCCGTCACGCCGCTCACTTTATTATCCTGCAGAGGAGAGAGAGCAGCGATCTGTTTGGACCACTTCTTCTGTGGTTAGAGTTTAAACAAACACCGTTTGTGGTTACCTCGGTGATGATGGCGTTATGCTGTCGGACTCTCTGGTATTCCGACTCCACCCTAACGGTGTGAACGTCGGACAGCAGCACAGCATTCCCCCCGCGGCACAACACGGCCCGGCAGCGCCCCACGTTGGCTGCCGTCAGCGTGAAGCAGCCTCCGTGCTCTCCGGGCGCCACCGGGGCGTGCCTGATGTGGCATAAAGCAGCCGATCCGCCCATCTTCTGGCCCGCCGTGCCCAGTTTCCTTCAGGACAAAAACAGGAACCAGCAGGGATCAGCTGATGTCCTTTTCCCTCTAAAGCCTGATTCATGTTTCTCCGTCAGCTCCGCAAGGGACAGACACGCACGGGTTGATGGAAGCGTTTTGTTCTCATACTTCTTCGTCTCCTGGAGAGTGTAGCCAAGCAATTCCCCACCAGGACAGCAGAGGGCGTAGAGGGTTCTGTGGTATCCTGTCATGTATCGGTGCAAGATGGTGTGTTTATATTGTGTTTTTTGTATATAAGAGACTTTTTAACACGGACAGATTTGTCTCTCATCCTCCTCCACCTCTTCATGCGCTCGCCACCTCTAAACCCACGTTTCTTGTCGTTTTCGTCCACAAATAAAACGCTTGCTGCATCTTTTCACTCCTCCAGTCACGGGGGAATTAAACGTTCATGTTTTTAGAGTTTTTTTGCGAGGTATTCTTCAAGCTGCTCCGTGTCTGCCGCTAGTTATCCTCGGCTCTCTTTATGTTTTTGAGGGCGCAATGGCGGTGGTGTAGACGACAGCGGCGCCCTGACCAATCACAAGCTTGCGTTGTCCGTCTCGACTGACGGATGTTTAGAAAAGAGAGCTCGACTCCGTCCGTCCTTGCGGGGCTCTCTGGCAGGCTCGCGAGGACGCTGCGTGTTTCCGCGCTGACGCAGACGGAGAAGCATGAATCAGGCTTAAGTCGGGGAGCGCGCCAACGTGGGCGTTTACCTTTGCATGGTGAGGAATGTGCTGGTCATGTAGTCTTCCTGCTTTGGGCCTCTGTGGAGTTCCTCTGCGAGCACATCTCCCATGGTGCACTGCAGCAGGTAAGGCACCTCGACGTTCCTGTCGCCGTCAAACACGCCGTAGAGAGCTTCACGAGTCCCACAGAAGCTGTCCTGGGCCAGAGCCGCCACGCACAGCCTGGCAACAACGCAGAGTCAGCGCCGTCTCAGAGACAAACGATCAACACCCAACTAACAAGGAAAGCCACAACTTCATACATCAGCACCAACCAAAACTCTCAGGAAACAAAACAAATCAGCCACTTCAGAGTTTTCGCGGAGACGAGCCAATCAGGGAAAGACTGACTTGTTTTTGACTCCAGAAGCTTCCGTGAAGCCGTGACTCCAGAATGCGGGAACGCCGTGGCTGTCGCTGGCACAGGGAGCCGACGGAGACGGATCCACCCGGAAACAGCGGATATTGCTGCGGAGAGGAGAACGAGAGTCAGACGGCCGTGAGGTGGTACGTTTCTGCTGATGAGTCGCTCGTACTTGAGGAGCTCCAGGCTCTTGTGATCCAGGCCGAGTCGAGGATTTCCAGTCAGGTCGAGCTCCTGAAGCTTCGGAGGAAGCGTCTCTGGTAGGGTCACCTCGCTCAGCTCGTTGCAGCTCAAATCCACACACTGGTGAGGAAGAGCAGAGAGCTGAGAACCCCTGGGACTAACAGCACCCCCTCTAATGTTTGACCACACAGGATATTTTAATGCGGTTATGGCATCCCTCAGGGTCCCTGCACCACCCTAGACGGCTGTTTGCATTTAATTGCTGAACCTTGATCTCTGGCAGCTGCAGGACTTCAGGGAAGGTGCTGATGCAGTTGGAGTGGGCGGACAGCGTGTGCAGCCGCTGGCAGCTGAGGATGGTGGTGGGTACGGCTCTCAGCCTGTTTCCACTCAGGTCCAGCTCCTCCAGCTGCTCCAGGCGGGCCAGTTTACTGCAGGCGAAGGAACAAAAACCCAGACTCAGTTCCTCTGACCTGATCGACTCACGCTTATGGCTGAACTCTGCAGATCTTGTTAAGTATTTGTCGGTTCTAAACAGAACTTTGCAGCTCCTGCCGTAGTGCCGAGTCCTGTACCTGGCAGTGAACGTCTGCAGCTGGTTGTAGGCAAGGTGGAGCACCCTGAGACGGCTGTGTCCCGTCAGCAGAGGAACAACCTTGTCTGACAGGCTGTTGTTGGTCACGTACAGCTCCTCCAGGCTGCCGAAGGCATCCTCTGACAGGCTGGCTGCAGGGAGGTCCTCCAGCTTATTGGCAGACACGTTTAGGTAACGTAAGCTAGGAGGAAAACCAGCAGACTTAGTCTCTCACAGTAAGGAGGAACGAAGAGCAAGAGGAGAACGGAATGCACCTCTGAGCTTTGATGAACAGGTTGTGTGGGAGCTCAGTCAGGTGGTTGTGCTGCAGGTCCAGGACTTCCAGCTGAGAGCTCTCCAGCCTCTCCGTCAGCCGACTCACGTCGTTCCAGCCTGCCAGCAGCTTCCTCAGGCTCCCGCCGGACAGCAGCCTGTAACACAAACAGCCCGCTCAGTCTGTTGATCGGTGAGCTCGGCTCCTCGCTGAGGTTCAGTCAGCCACGATGCACCTGGACGGAACAGAGAGCAGCTCCCCACTCACCAGACAGGAAGCTCCGTGACACGGTTATGGTTGATGTCCAGCACCTCCAGTCTGCTGCTCTCGCCCAACCAGTCCGGGACGTGTCCAAGCTTGTTCCTTTAAGAGAACAGCAGAGTCAGCTGTGAGCAACAACGAGCCTCGGCGCTGTAAACGGAAAGTGGAAAGTTGAGAGTTTTTGTACCGGGACAGATCCAGAACCGTCAGATTCTCTGGGACCGGCTGCACCTCCAGCTGCTTCAGCTCTACAAACACAAACACAGCAGGTGTAGACGGTGACGCGTCGGGACTCCTCAGCTAAAGATGGCTGCAACACGTCAGCGTTTGTACCGTTGTGCGCGGCGTGCAGACTCTTGAGGGCGTGGCCGCTGACTCTGAGGAGGGAGAGCGAGTTTCTGTCACAGCGCAGCTGCTCCAGTTTACCCAGACAGCGGACGTCCAGCTCCTGCAGGCCGGTGTCCCTCAGGTCCAGCTGGACAACGTGGACCAGCTGTTCTGGTTCTGCCACCATCACCTTGTGGAGCCGGTTCAGCCTGAACAATACAGACAGAAGTCAGAAATCCTGTTTTTCAGCCCGCTTGTTAGAGGACCAATAAAAATCCGTAAAATGAGAATTTCTACACGTTTACATTTTCTAAACCCAAACCTTTCCAGACTCGGACTCATGGGTCACTTATGGTCTTGCAGTGCAAGTGGAACACGGGGTCAGGGTTACCACAGACACACTTCTAAAGCCAAAATCAGTTCGGATCTTTTTGGCACGATTTTCTAACAACAAGCTGAATTATTTATGTGTTACCAACAGCAAATGCAGCTAAAACTCTAAGTTCAACTCAAGTTTATTTATAAATCGCCAAATCACGACAAGCATCATCTCAAGGACCTTCACGTAATAAACATTCCAGTACAGGTCAGTTCATTAAGCCAATCAGTAACAAGTTTCCTATATAAGGAACCCAGCAGGTCGCATCGAGTCACTGACTAGTGTCAGAGTCTTTACAGCAATCCTCACACTAAGCAAGCATGCAGCGACAGTGGAGAGGAAAACTCCCTTTTAACAGGAAGAAATCTCCAGAGGATCCTGGCTCAGTATAAGCAGCCATCCTCCACGACTCACTGGGGATGGAGCAGAGCACACACACACACACACACACACGTACGTACGCGCGCGCGCACACACACACACACACACACACACACACACACACACACACACACACACACACACACACACACACACACACACACACACACACACACACACACACTAGTGCTGCTATGGTTACATTGTGATTTCTTAGTAAATATTCTAGTTGGTGAGAGATAAACTTGTATTTATCCTAGTGAATCTATAATTAAACGGTAAACTAACTAAATCTAAATACAGATTTATGAATAACAGGTCCTGGTTGTGAGCGCCGATAACGATTTAAAACTAAAACTAAAATTAAACGTTTGAGTTTCAGGTTAGCTGTTAACCAGCTAAACGTTCCTGCTAACTTAAGCCCTCGTGGGAACCCGGTTAGCCTAAAGAACATCATTTCATCATTTTACAACCTGGTCCGTGTCATGGTCGCACTAAAACTCCAGTAAAAGCTACCGTATTTTCCGAAGTATAAGTCACACCAGCTGCTGTAGTAGCTCAGAATAATAATAATAATAGAGTCATCAAAGAGTTATTGTATATTACAATGGCTGTTGGCAGGAAGGATCTCCAGTAGCGGTCAGTGTTGCAGCCAAACTGAAGAAGCCTCTGACTGAAGACACTCTTCCGTTGTCGGACAGTCTTGTGAAGAGAATGCTCAGGGTTGTCCATCATTTTCTTGATTCTCTGGAGAATCCTTCTTTGCATCATCTCCTCCAGCGGTTCTGAAACTGCCGAAACTCTGGCTGAGTCCTTGAAAGGGCTTGGAGTTCCTCCATCTTGTTGGCCAGTGATCTCACATCGCCCATTATGATCGATGGAAGAGATGGTTTGAATTTCCTCTTTCTCCGTTTTGCTCCCGCTCTGCACCCACGCTTCTTGCGTTTTAGCTCATTTGAGATTTGTGGCTTCAGTTGAGGTATTATTTCAGCCTTTCCAATGTTAATCAGCTGCTCCCGATTGTAAACCAGCTTGTTGCCATGGTTACGCATCATAACAAATGCTCAAAAAGTGAAAAAAGCTAAAAAACAAGCAGTAAAAATCCTCCAAGCTTCACAGCACCAGAAGCAGAAAAGTAAAATGTCCAAAAAATACAGTTTTTCTTGAGAAACTAGAAGAAAAAATGCCCAAGAAAGGGCAAAACTTACATAGTAGTCAACAGAGCTACTCCAACATGCAGCCACCCAGAGCAGCGCAGTTCCGGAAAGAACATAAGTCGCACTGGACTATAAGTCTCATTTCGGGGGGAATTTTATTATTTTTCTCACAAAATCTGAGACCAAGTGTTTCACATTGCAAGACAAGTACCGGTAACAATAACAGAATAAACAATCAGGGCACAGCAGCGTGCCACGGTCTCCAGCAGATGACGGCGGTGTTTCAAACCCTCCCAGCGGGGCAGAGGAGGAGCTGAAACCTGGACAGGAGCTGGCCCGCAGCAGGGCGGTTTACCTAACTTGGTATAGAAGTCGCAGGACCAGCCAGACTATGAAAAAAGTGCAACTTATAGTCCGGAAAATACGGTAATTAGTTTAAATGTGGTTATTGAGAAAAGTTTGTTATGAGGCATTTCTAAACAGAAACTATCTGCATGTTTCTGAGGCAGCTTCTACGTTTAACCTGATTTCTTCTCCTCTAAACTCACACGACCTCAAAAGCACCACTGATCTGGCTACTTGTTGAGTTTTCACAGCAGACCTCCTCAGATCTTCTGAGTGATGCGGAAACATAAAGCAGGTTGTCTCTGCAGCACCTCGGAAAGCGGCGATGTTCTTACCTGAGGTCTACGTAGCGAGCAGGCAGCCACTGCAGACCGATCATATCCAGGACAGAGAGCTGATTTCCTGCCAGACAGAGCTTTTCCATCCCTCTGAGCTTCTCCAGGACGGGGGGGACGCTGCTAAAACAGTTGAAGGATAACCCGAGGTAGGACAAGCCCTCCAGAGAGCGCAGCTCTGCAGGCAGAGAGCTGAGGATGTTTCCATCCAGGAGGAGAGTCTGCAGGCTGGGTAGAACGAGGCGAGAGAGGACCTTCATGAGAACGGGTGTGTGCGCAGAAACTCTACTGGCTCCCTACCACTCAAACTTTGATAAACACATAATAAGAGAAAAACTACAAACACACAAGTACTAGTGGATGACTCATCGATGACATCATCGGTCACGCTGAGAAGGCCAAACCAACCAGCTCCAGCCCACCCGCCCGGTGGGTGGAGTCATTAATGCGTACGTGTCTGATGCTTCGGTAAAGCTATGCTAACGTTAGCGTTCATGCTACCCGACGTATTCCTGCTTTGCATCGAGTTTTCCCAACAGAACTTATTCTGGTATATAAATGACATCATTCGCTACAGCAGGAGCTGGAAAAATGAGAATCAGGAGCAAAAGTTCCTCCAAGTCAGTAATCCGACCTAAAAGGTGAAACCACGAGACAGGCCAATCCAGATGTTCCAGCTGTTATCGGTTATAATTGTGACGATCGTGGCTTACAGCTGATGAATCCAGAATGCCTGCAGAGGGTTCCAGAGCCTTTAGATGGTCTCTCAGTCTGAGCTAGATTACTGACATAAGCGGACTTTAGCACCAGATTCTCGTTTTCACCCGGATCAGAAATCAGTTGTGAGTTTCTGAATGTGCACCGTGGCGCAGTGGCTAGCACTGCTGCCTCGCTGTGCGAAGGTCGCAGGTTCGAAACTCGGCTGCAGCCTTTCTGCGTGGAGTTGCGTGTTCTCCCCATGCATGCGTGGGTTTCCTCCGGGTACTCCGGTTTCCCCCACAGATCACAACATGCCCTTTAGGTTATTAATTGTAAGTCGCTTTGGATAAAAGCGTCTGATAAATAAATAAACATAAACATAAATCTCACTGAGCTGCAGCTGCTAAAGGAAGATTCTTCAGCCGTTCATATCTGGGGTTCTGAAGCTTAGAGAAGGTTTAGTGAACCTGAGAAGACCATCTGTGGGTTAAAGTCCTGCTCAGAGGCAGCATGACTCAGCACATTAAAGAAAGATTCATCCAAAGGATGCTTCGGCAGAAACGTTTGTCAGCAGCAAACGGGTCAGAGGAAGCGTTCAGCAGACCAGTCGTTCCCAGAATAATCACCACCATCAGCCAGAGCCCCCCAAGGCGCCGCTTCTCTTTCAGGCCACTTACTCCATCATTGCTGCCATTTCTGCCGGCAGACAGGAGAGACGGTTTCCAGACAGGTTGAGCTCTGTGAGCGAGGTGATGTCACACAGTGCCGGAGGAAACTCAGACAGAGCGTTATTGGACAGGCTGAGGCTTCTCAGTTTACAAAACCTGAAGAGAGAAAGAGACGGTCAGAGAGAGAGAAAGGAGACGGGAGGAGAAACGGCACGCACATCTCTGGAGGGTGGGGGTGTAATCTATTTATAGATGCACTGTGTTGCTCACATGAACTATTAATCGATTATTAATGGTAATTAATGAAAACACAGACGAATGCAAAAGGTGAGGAGGTGCAGCAGCCGGACCGTTCACGAGGAGCACAAAACAGGAAGTCCTACCTGCGTTACAATCATGGTGAAGTAATGACCATTCAGTCGACGTTTTAAACACAACAGAGACCACGGAGTCAGACCGGTGTCGTGTCAAAAAGCGTTCCTCCTCCTCCTCCTGTGGAAGTCTCTCGCTCGGTGCAACCCTCTCTCCTCTCTGCTGCTTTACTTGAAACAGTTTGATGTAAAGATTTGTATTTTTCCTAGATTTGTACATTTTTGAGGTTCTCCTCGTTATTCTTTATGATTCAGGACTGAAGTGGCGTAAAACTGAGGGAAACACCGAGTCGGACCCACGCGGTTCTGAAGGAATGTTAAAGGAAATCCAAAGGAAAAGTGGGAGGGAAGCTTGAACAGCAGCAGCAGCATGTCTGACCCTGACATCGCCCTCCTCTGACGTAAAGGAGCAACGTTAACGTCGACCTACAGGAGAATCAGGGCCAGGTCAGACGCTGCTCGTCTCAGCCACCAGCCTTCATCCAGAGGTCGGGTCTAGGACCGCCTCCAGCTCTTTTCAGCACCAATCACATAGTAGAAAACAATTATTTCCTCTGCTCCACAGCTGATGAAACAAACTGTAAGACGAGACCTAAAGCGTGCCCGAGGAAGCACACAGGGATGCACCGATACCGATACTGGTATCGGTTCCAATACCGATACAAGTATCGGTATCGTCGCATTCCTAGAAGCACATCTACACCACAGATGTGGACGTCTGGAACCCTTATGCAGCTCAAATGGATGTTTCTGGGAGACCTCATGGAAAGGCCCATTCAAAGGAGAGGATGAGTCCTTCTGAAGGGTGAGGACAGCTGGAGCAGAGACTCACCTGGTGAGCGCTGGAACACCTTTGAGTGGAGACATGAAGTTGTTCTTGAGGCTGAGGTGTGTGAGATCCTGGCTGTAGAACAGCTGAGCAGGAAGCTCCTCCAGGCTGCAGCACGACAGGTCGACAGAGTTCACCCTCTGGGAGGCAATCTGACTCAGGAGGACGGAGGACATAATGAGCTGCTTCGCTCCTCGAGTCTTAAACACGTTCAAACGTCAACAAACACCAGGTGCCAGTTTAAAAAACAACAACAAAACAGGATTTTCTATCAAATTTCACCTTCAAACATTAAACTAGAATAGATTTGATTTTATTTCTGGCTTTTTGGAGCCTGATTGTTAAAGAGCAAGTCACCCCCAAATCAACTTTTTTTCTGATAAACTATATAAATGCGTGTCTAATCGTGCTGCAGACACGAGTAGTCAACAGTTTTTCACTTTAGTGCATTTTAGTTAAAATGTTCATTTTCTGCCTAAAACTTGTCAGTGTTGTGCCGTTGTCAGGTAAAAACTCTGCACTGCATTTGAATTTAAATCTGCCATCGCCACTGGCTAAGAGGTACCCTAGAACGTTAGCTGGTACCATATGATGTCACAATGTCTTTGTGAGCCTGTGTGTGTGTATTTTTTAGCGGCTCCGCCCTCTCGGTCTGCTAGGCAACAGCATTTGTTGCATTTTTCAAACAGGAAGTGGGAGTGGAGTAAGACTCTGGTAGGGGGTGACCTGCCCCCCCCATAGAGCTCTGGCCCGTAGCCGGGAGTTTAGGAATGAAACAAATGCTGCTTCAGCTTTTAGAGTTTCTTATTTCTGAGAATAAAAATAAATATGTTTCACCGACTCCTTTAACAGAAGGACTCTAATTAAGAATAACTTCTGTGATCGTTTAACACTTTAAAGTAATAAAAGTACACAGGTGTACTTGACAGGAAGCGCCTAAGACGGAGACGGTCCGTACCTTCGAGGCCATCCTGTGCCAGCGCAGGTGCTCGGCGTAGGACTCGTAGCTGACGTAGTAGGTCTGACTCTGAGGACCCGCGGAGCTGAAGGCCAGGCAGTGGCTGTGCCTCTTCACCTCCTCCACCTGAAACACGGACGAGTTCTGTTACACAGAATCTTTGGTTCTGCTGAGCAGACGCAGGTGTTCACAGCTCGTTACGTCTCAGAGATCCTAAAACAACACGATGACAACGATAAACCACCCTGATTCTCCCCATACATGTGTGTGTTTTCTAGGCTCCAGGTGTGTGTGTGTGTGTGTGTGTTCAGAGTTCCAGGTGTGTGTGTGTGTGTTTTCTAGGCTCCAGGTGTGTGTGTGTGTTCAGAGTTCCAGGTGTGTGTGTGTGTGTGTGTGTGTGTGTGTGTGTGTGTGTGTGTGTGTTTTCTAGGCTCCAGGTGTGTGTGTGTGTGTGTTCAGAGTTCCAGGTGTGTGTGTGTTTTCTAGGCTCCAGGTGTGTGTGTGTGTGTGTGTGTGTTTTCTAGGCTCCAGGTGTGTGTGTGTGTGTGTTCAGAGTTCCAGGTGTGTGTGTGTGTGTGTTTTCTAGGCTCCAGGTGTGTGTGTGTGTGTGTTCAGAGTTCCAGGTGTGTGTTTGTGTGTGTGTTTTCTGGGCTCCAGGTGTGTGTGTGTGTTCAGAGTTCCAGGTGTGTGTGTGTGTGTGTGTGTGTTTTCTAGGCTCCAGGTGTGTGTGTGTGTGTTCAGAGTTCCAGGTGTGTGTGTGTGTGTATCTTTTCTAGGCTCCAGGTGTGTGTGTGTTCAGAGTTCCAGGTGTGTGTGTGTGTTTTCTAAGCTCCAGGTGTGTGTGTTTTCTAGGCTCCAAGTGTGTGTGTGTGTGTGTGTTTTCAAAGTTCCAGGTGTGTGTGTGCGTATGTGTGTTTTCTAGGCTCCAGGTGTGTGTGTGTGTTCAGAGTTCCAGGTGTGTGTGTGTTTTCTAGGCTCCAGGTGTGTGTGTGTGTGTGTGTGTGTGTGTGTGTGTGTTTTCTAGGCTCCAGGTGTGTGTGTGTTCAGAGTTCCAGGTGTGTGTGTGTGTGTTCAGAGTTCCAGGTGTGTGTGTGTGTTTTCTAGGCTCCAGGTGTGTGTGTGTGTTCAGAGTTCCAGGTGTGTGTGTGTGTGTTTTCTAGGCTCCAGGTGTGTGTGTGTGTGTTCAGAGTTCCAGGTGTGTGTGTGAGTGTGTGTGTATCTTTTCTAGGCTCCAGGTGTGTGTGTGTTCAGAGTTCCAGGTGTGTGTGTGTTTTCTAGGCTCCAGGTGTGTGTGTGTGTGTGTGTGTGTGTTCAGAGTTCCAGGTGTGTGTGTGTGTGTGTTTTCTAGGCTTCAGGTGTGTGTGTGTTTTTTAAGCTCCATGTGTGTGTGTGTGTGTGTGTGTGTGTGTGTGTGCTGCTGAAGTCGTGAACACACCTTTCCTCCGATGAGCGGGAGGATGTGCATCTTTCCGGTGTGAGCGTGTTTCACAGACGACACGATGAGGCAGGTTCCGCTCAGTGTGACCTGACGCCTCGACCAGCGGTTCACCGGCAGCGCCAGCTTGCCTTTCCGCACGTTGAACACCCCGGAGAGCTGCACGCGCTCCGACCCCCCCACGCAGCGAGGCTTACCTGCAGCAGGAAACAGACAAACGTGTCACATGACACCAAACAGGATGGTCAGCGACTGTTCGTGGAGCGTTTGAACGGCTTTATTTTTAGCTCGCTGGGATTTTATGAATCAACTCCGTTTCTACGGGGATCTCTTTCAGAAAGGGAGCGCTGTGTGGTTATGTAAGCTGAAAAGCTTGTGGGCTGCCACTGAGAGCAGTCATTCAGGCGTGAGCAGTGAGATTTTTAACCCTTTGCTGGAACAGAAACGAGATCACACAACATTCCTGCTGATGGATGGATGCTCACAGCTTCTCTGTTAAAACCATCAGAACACCCCCAGGGGACGGGAGAAAATGAGACATATGAAGAGTCAGAACCACAGCGGCCTGAAATCAGATTAGCTTGTTATTTAACGTCTTACAACACCAGAGCCTCCATCCTCCAGCCTGATGCTTCAGTGACTGAAACACATTTAGTTTGTTTGTTCCTGCCTTTGTCTGAGCGGCTCTGACCCGAGTCTTATCACTACTGAAACACACCAACAACCACTCAAACCCAATAGCAGCACCCAGACTGGTGAAAGGAAGAACCTTTAACTAGCCCCGTCTCAGGAATGTGTTTAAACTTCTACGTTCTCCTAGAATCACTACAGAACCATCTAACTATAAATACACCCAAGCCCTCGGTGTTGGAGAGCAGCCTTGTTCCCGTCTGTGGAAACACAGACGATGCAGCAAAGCAACAGTTTAAAGGGACTTTACGGACTTTTGAATTTTTATGCTCGCGATTGCCCCCTCAGGCCAAAAGCGTAACGACAGCTTCAATAGTACATGCACTCCTTAACAAAAATAACAGCTGAGACAGTCCCGTGTGTGTGTGGCCCGGAGGACAGAGGACAGGAGAACGCGCAGCTAATTAAGTAATTTGGTTCTGTACCTTTCTCTTCAGCACAGCCGACAAAGGTTTATGATGGGTCAGTCCTCCTGCATGCTCAGATCATTCCCTTCCCTTGCTTGAAAAATTGTTCCAAAATGAAAGTTGAACCCACATCTTTTTTATCTGTGAATTCAATGCCGTTCGGCGAGTCTCAAATAAAAATTTGGGCATCTTACTGTAAAAAAATATACCATTAATGTAAAAAAGAAACTCTAAATGAACTATGTTCACATCCAGAATCAAACCCAGGTCTTCTGCATGGGAGTCAGACATCTTACAAGGTGAGCTACACTCTAGTAACATTCACAGTATCTGTAACATTTATATCCTTGATGACAGCTGAAACGACGTCAAACCAAAGAACGGTTCGGAGTGAAAATGGCTGTTTTGTTGCTAATTTGCAGGAAATATCTAGAAGAAAGTTCTACAGAAAGTAGCTAAGTGTCCTCAGAAATGTAGCTAGCTTTGTCACTAGGCGTTAGGAACAGCGACAAAGTGGCACTGCCTCTCTCTCTGCTGCTAAAGCTACGGATAGCAAATGCTACGGGCGATGCCTGAGCGTGAACGCGCATGAAGCAGCCTGCTCGACCCGAGCATCTCTCTTTTTCTGTGATTTTACAGAAAAACAGGCAATCACAGTAAAAATGCCAGGGCTCATTCTACAGGACCAGGGCATTGCAGGAGAATGTATGAAGAAGACATTTATTATTTCTATACATGTTTTGGCTGTCACACTTCCATAATGTCCCTTTAAGGTCTGATTGTTAAACCGAACCATTTGTTTCCTTTAACCAGATGTAACTCGGGAGTATGAGCGGAAACATTCTGGATGTGATGACGGTCGGCCTGTTTTGGATCATTTCCACGATGAATAAACTAGAACTCGTGCTAAAGTTGATGTCTGATTAGATGATGACTGTGACAAATGACTGACAGCAGAATTAGGGTTTATTCCATCCTGTTTTCCAAATGAACAATAATGTGAACGGCACCTCCACCCTTCCCTGGGTGGGGCAGACGTGATGTGGTGTGGTAAGAAGCCCTTTCCTTCCTTCTGTTTCTCTGAATCTGGGATATCCTGCCTCCCATCAGGCTGATGATAAACATTCCAGTTCATCTGTGAGAAAACTCTAGGGATGGACAACATATCGGCATCAATGTTGGTATCGGCCGATGTTAGTCGTTTTTAACACACCGTATCGGTCCAATAAATACAACCGGGCTGATGTTAAAACCGATATTTTTTCCATCTTGTTGGCCTGTTTCAGAGGGTGAGGCGGGTGATGATGTGTTTCTGTTTAGTCATGTGAACAGTGAATGTAATCATCTCAGAAGAGTAAATGTGTGTCTAGTGTGTACACAATAGGGACGTGAATCTTAGAGCAACTCACGATTTGATTTGATTCGATTCTCGGGGTGCCGATTCGATTCAGAATCGATTCTCAATTGAAATCGATTCACAATCAGTATTAACAAAGAGTGTCAGCTCCAGGATGAACTATGGGACATTGTTATTTGACTTTAAACTGGTCGTGCTCCAAAAATGCAGATTTACAAGGTAAACTAAAGTGATTCTAAAACTGTAAACAGAAACAATCTTTTGACCAAAAGGCAACATTTATTTTTGCTTACCTTGTAAAATATAACAAATCTGTAGTTACCCAACAGTAGCTTGAGTAAAAGTGTCGCATGTGGCTCCCCAAATTTCTAAACAATAAATTAAATATGGTTCAATCGGTGAGTGATACAACGTTAATAACCCCGACCGATTTAGTAGAAACTTGACTCTATATACCGGTAATACTAGGGATGTGAATCTTAGAGCAACTCACGATTTGATTTGATTCGATTCCGATTCAGAATCGATTCTCGATTCTGAATTTAATTCGATTCACAATCAGTATTAACAAAGAGTGTCAGCTCCAGGATGAACTACGTTGTTGTACAAGTTAGTTAAAGCTATGGGACGTTTTTATTTGACTTTAAACTGGTCATGCTCCAAAAATGCTGATTTACAAGGTAAACTAAAGTGATTCTAAAACTGTAAACAGAAACAATCTTTTGACCAAAAGGCAACATTTATTTTTCTTACCTTGTAAAATATAACAAATCTGTAGTTACCTAACAGTAGCTTTGAAAGTAATACGGTCAAATACTTTTCAAGCATGTGTAGAAACAAGTTACATGAGTAATCCTGAGTACTCATTTATTAACTTAGAAAATAAATATGAGAATATCTCAAATTTCTGAGTATGGAAAAAATTACATTCAAGTGTCCTCTTATCAGCAGATTCAAACATAAATCATCTCAATTTATGGGACCACAAAAGTAAACGGAGTACTGACTCTCCTAACAAAGACCAAAAATGTGCATCTGAAACCTGTAACGTGCCAAACATTTGAGTTCTTGGAATCGATTCTGAATCTTTAAAAATAAGAATCCCGATTCAGACTTGAATCGATTTTTTTCAGCACTTCTAGTGCACAATAATGTAAATTTGGCTTTAAATTTTTTTATTTTATACAAAACTGCTGATTTTAGAAGCATTAATGTGAGAATATCGGTTATTGGCCATAACAGTGATCTTAATATCGGATATCGGCCCAAAATTTTCATATCGGTGCATCACTAGAAAACTTTCTTCATGGATCTCCTCCTCAGCACCAGTTCCACAGCCAGAGCATCTTGATGCTGATGGAGACGGCTCAGACCCAGCAGGGAGTTTGAGTTACCCAACCATGAGTATCAGGACAACTCAAATATCAGGCGAGTATTCTGAAGGATGTTCAACCTTGTGGGGTGAGGTCGTGACCTCTGGGGGAAGTCTGCAGCTGCAACAGTCTCAGAGGTCCAAATCACTGAGGAAGTGAAATCTGAGTTCCACTCAGGTCATTTTTCCCTTAATGTCAGCATACTGCGAGTCGACATGGCGGAGAAGGCTGTGCACGTGGCAGCATGCACGACTCTGAACGGATTTCTGCTGCGTCCGACCCTTTTAGACGGACATGAATATTTTCCAACAAGAAGTTGTAACAGGGAAGGATTTATTGGTAATAGCGTTTTTAGCCCCGTTGACTTGCATTAATTTTTTCGTTCTTCCCGTGATGCGGAAGTGACTTAGGCTCCCTACAGCAGTAACTGCTTTTCCTTGTGGGAGTTTTTACTTCCAGTCACATTTTTGACTAAATCAGAAGTAAGTTATTATCAGCTTCTGACTGTACACGATTTGGAAATCAGCATCAGCCCTTACAAACAAAATCGATGCATTTCCTAAAAAAAAAAAGTTCAAAAGACCTCAACAGCAGATTAACAAATCTGCTTTAGTTTACGTAAAACACAGTTTATCACCTCGCAATCCTGTTTCCCCGCCGTCTTTGTTGAGAGTGTAAAAAAATAAGGTCAAAAACAATATTCAGTCGTGCTAATCCCAGAAGAGATCGGGGTTTTATCCTCTTTACCCTACTTGTCACCAAAACAGGTTTGTTATCAACAACAACACCAGTTTAAGCAGCAGCTGGGGGATGAACATGCAGGATTGAGGTGTGTGTGTGTGTGTGTGTGTGTGTGTGTGTGTGTGTGGTGCTGCTGTTACCTTCTGACGTGACATCTTACTGGCCGCTTTACAGGTCCAAAACTGAGTATTGTGCAGGCAGGACAAGTGAATATTCACAAGCCGAGTGACCAAACACAATAACAGCACTCATGCTGGTGAGCATGGACCAGCATAGACAGGACACTCCAAGTGAAGTGGCCTGCAACAGCCTGCAGTCCTCGAAAGCAAAATACCTAAATCAAATCTGACCGCCTGATCATAATGCGCCTAGATTTGAGCTGAACTCCCTCTGAGCCTCTGACTAAATACTCACCAAAGTAGAAGCGTATCAAGCAGCCAATTTCTGGATTCATGCCTTCCTCTTGCATCCTCCATGCATCTTCAAACCCCAGATTAGCGAGGTACTTGTTTAAAATCTGAAGTGGTCGTTCATCATCTCCCAGTCGCCTTACAACTCCGCCGTGCAGCTGGATGAACAGGGCCGGGGTCGGACTGGGATTGATGGGCTCGGGCCACCCTCTGCTGGCCTCGGGGATCTCCTGGTCTGGCTGGACAGATGCTTGGCTGGTTAGGGGTCGAGTCAAAGAGCTGTTGGAGCATTTAGCTGGCTCTGTGATTAATTTGGGGGCATCACCAGCATCAGCTTCACCATCATCCTCTTGTCTGGTGGCTTGGTTAGAAGCACTGTGGGTGTCTGAGGGGGGCAGGTCTGACGCTGAGTGCGTTGGGGAAGATGTGAGCTCCAGCTCATCTGAGGAGCTTTCAAATGGGTCAGGTTCCTCTGTGGCACTGTCACAATTTGGACTCAGCGCTGAAGAGTCGGTCCCCAAACCCAGCCCGTCACTGAGCGAGTCTCGGTGCTCCGTACTTCTGGGTCCACCTGGGCTGAAGTCCTCACATGTGCTGCTCTCTATATCAGAACCAGAGTATGGGCCGAAGCAGTCTGTGCCACTCTGGCTTAAATCAACTCCAATGTCATTGAGACAGACCTCAGAGGAAGAGTTACTACCACCTTTATCATCCAGAAAAAAATTAGAAGGTAATTTAGCATCAGAGTAACACTTGGTGCTTTCGTTCTCCTCTGATTTGGGATTTTTCAAATCCACGTTATCAACATGCTCATTAACATCTTTACAGAGATCATTTAAGTCATTAGGTTTGCAGTTAATTCTCAGCACAGCCCCAGCTTTGCTGCCCTCCAGCTTGGAGGCCACCTCCTTAGCAGTGGTGTCCACGGTGCAGAGCACAGGGCGCGGGTAGGAGGGCGTGAGCCAGTCGTGAACGTGGATGCATCCCCGCTGGGGGTCCGATCTCACCCATGACTTGTCAGAGGCCTGAAGCTGCTTTGACTGTTTCTGCCGGAGGAAGGTCTTTCTGTCCAGGCTGAGAGTGCTGAGCGGTGAGGCGGAGGGCGCGGGACTAGCCGCCTCGGACGGAGACGCCCCGAGCGAGCTAGCGGTCGGTGGAGCCCCCAGAGACAGGTTCCTCTTGTGTCTGTGCCGCCTCCTGTTCAGCAAAGAGTTCACCGAAGTGGTGCTGCTCACCGACGTCAAACTGTAGATGTTGGCCGTTTTTACCGCGGGCATGTTGCTCATCTTTCCCGTGCCGCCGGTAGCGTTGGCAACTTGGTTTTGGTAGATTCCGTTCCTTATTGCAATCTGGAGAAGGGAGGTGGCCGCAAGACCCTTCCCGAAGAGTTTCGCCTCTGCGCCCCCACCCTCATCCTCCCCGATGGAGGGTCTCTTTCCAGGGGGCAGCGGCGTTAATCCACTCGGCTTGGCGGAGTTAAAGTTGCCAGAGTCCGGTGTCCCCTGTAGCGTTGATGAAGTCACTCCGGACTCGTTTTCCTTCACACTTTCCATCTTGTTAGCTAACAACGGCACCGTCAGTCGGACAACAGCACCAGTCCGCAGGTGAACACTCGTTTGGGTTAGCTTCCAGCGTTAGCTTCGTCCGAACGAGTATGGCTCCTCGTTAGCTTAGCACGCTAGTTCTACTAGCGTACTGCGTAGTTCTCCCATTGAGTTATCCCGCTACATCATCCCATTTCATCTGAAGTCTGTTAGCTCTCTAACGGGAGCTATCGGTCTGATGGAGGAGAGAAAACGGTCTCCTAGCTGGTCGCCATACAAGCTAAATGACAACCAGGCGCGCGCGACGAATACAGTCCAGCCCGGCGAGCCTGATGGTCAGCAGTACACTGTGGACAGGGCGGGGTCTCATTGGATATGAATTATGATACGTTCAGTTACACCAAAACCTCGGAAATTTAGCATTTGACGCTTTTTTAAATCTTTTATTTCATTCACAATGTATAAAATAAACACAAACAAATACAACATACATTAACATATTGAAAAAAACAATTGAATGAAATTGACACGTGACACGCTATGTTGACGACTGGGAAATTACACAAATCAAATAATTGAAGAAATATATTTTCATTCTCTTTTAATAAGAAAGTTAGATGTACGACAGTAGTAATATCATATAATACGCAATTTTTAAGTAGATCTATAAACGGGTTCGATTACAGTAATTCTAACAGTCACGCATGTAGATTCTACGAGCTCAACTGAACGCACCGTTATAAGCAGTTACAGTATTTGGGTACATTCAAGTTTAATCTTTAACTCTAAACTTGATTTTTCTCGCGTAATTGTCTTTTGGTATACAGACACGTTTCAAAAACATAAAACTAGTCAGAACAATTTATAATCACCATTTAAGCTGGAGACACTAAACTGAAGACACGTGGTTGATGTTCTGGCGCCATCTGATGGGGTAAAGGGTGCCGTCCCAAAACAATTTTTTTGTTTGTTAATTTTCCAAATGCAATTTTGATGTTTTAAAAACTTCATGACATTTAAATTTCTACTAAACATATTTTTAATTATTCAATTCAGTTTTATTTATTAAGCACTTTCATTCACCCAGCTGGAAGACCAAAGTGAGAGAGACACAAGACTGTATGATACAGGGAAATCTATGGGGTGCCATAAAGTCAAAGAGTCATAATTTAAAAGCAGTATTTTGGTTTTTTTTTAGCGCCTCAAAACAAAATAAATTGGAGTTCAAATAAAGTTGTCACCATGTTATTCCCACATTTATAAGTGTTAAAGAGCAAGTCATCCCCTGCCAGATTCTTACTCAACTCCTACTTCCTGTTTGAAAAATGCAACAAATGATGTTGCTTAGCAGACCGAGAGGGCGGAGCCGCTAACAAATACACACACTCACGACATTGTGACATCATAATGTACCATCTAACATCATAGTGTACCTCTTAGCCAATAGCGATGGCAGATTTAAATTCAAATGCAGTGCTGAGTTTTTGCCTGACGACGGTGCATCGCTGGCAGTTTTAGGCAGAATATTTAAATTTTTACTAAGATGCACTAAAGTGCCGAGTTATTGACTGCATTTGTCTACAGCATAATCAGACACTCATTTATATAGTTTATCAGCAAAATAAATAAATAAATAAATAAATAAATGTAGCATGCTAAGTATTTGTAGTTAAATATTTATTTTACAAACTAAATATTTAGGTCAGAATTAAATATTTAGTTTGTAAAATAAATATTTAATTTACTTACAAAGATTTAATTTATAGGTAAGTATTTTGTTTACAAACTAAACATATAGATTGCAAACAAAATATTTAGCTCCAAAAAAATATTTATTTTACAAACATAATGTTTTTGGACCGACCTAAATAAATAGTTTGTAAAATAAATATTTACATCTAAATTAAATATTTATTTATCAAGCTTAATATTTAATTTAGGATCTTCAACATTTATAAATGTATGAATAACATGGTAAAAACATGACTCTGAAAAATGAACTCCCATTTTGTTTTTACTTATGGTAGGCTAAATAACCCCCCAAAATTGCTGACTGTTTCACTTTACAAATGGCACCCCATGTAAATCAGCATAATAAACAGTCGTAACAAAACAGCATTGACACAGGACAATAATACAAAAAATTTGAAAAGGCAATAAATGATTGTGATTTCAGATGTCATCAGCATCAAAAACAAAAAGAATTATAATGATGATCTTCTTGTTTGTTATATCTCCATGCATATTTTCCTATATGGAATTTTCATCTGACACCAGCGAAGACAAAACTGATTTTAAAGAGCAAGTCACCCCCTACCAGATTCTTACTCAACTCCCACTTCCTGTTTGAAAAATGCAACAAATGCTGTTGCCTAGCAGACCGAGAGGGCGGAGCCGCTAACAAATACTCACACACACAGGCTCACAACAACATTGTGACATCATATGGTACCAGCTAACGTTCTAGGGTACCTCTTAGCCAATAACGATGGCAGATTTAAATTCAAATGCAGTGCAGAGTTTTTACCTGACAACGGCACAACACTGACAGTTTTAGGCAGAAAATTTAAATTTCAACTAAAATGCACTAAAGTGCAAAACTATTGACTACACGTGTCTGCAGCACGATTAGACACGCATTTATACAGTTTATCAGAAAAAAAAGTTCATCTGGGGGTGACTTTCTCTTTAACAATGTTATTATTTAATTATCCGTTTTATATTGTAAATGTTTCATGCCCATTGTGATGTTGATTTAATTTAGATTTGCTCCAAGAATGAGGTCAGCTGACTACCTGAATATACTGAATGATCAACTTATTCCATCTCCCCCGATGGCACGGGCACAAGACGACAATGCCAGGATTCATCACGCTCAGATAGTGAAAGAGTGGTTCAGAGTCCAGACCTTAACCCCATTGAGAATCTTTGGGATGTGCTGGAGAAGGCTTTGTGCAGCGGTTAGACTCTACCGTCATCAGTGCAAGGTCTCGGTGAAACATTAATGCAACACTAGATGGAAATAAATCTGGTGACGTTGCAGAAGTTTATTGGAACAACGCCACAGCGAACGTGTGTCGTAATCAAGCTAAACGACTCTGCAGACAAACCATTCAGCTGTTTGTGTTTTTCTGGGAGCTGTTGTGGACGTCCTTTACATGAGGGGACTGCTGTCACGCTGCTGTCCAACAGAGGGCAAAGTACAAGCATTGCTCTGACTGCATGTCATTGCTTCTCTCCTGCTCTCCTTCCTCCCTCCTACTGCCAAGTCTCCACCTTGTTTTTTATACCAGTCACTCACACACTCTCACTCATCTGTTGACCCAGAGCTCTGACTTCACCGTCCTCCTTCCTGCAGCCAGGGTAAGCCTTTCTTTACATTCTCGGTTGAGATCTAACAGAAAAGTTTGAACTGGTGCTGACCTGCTCTCCATTCGTGAAGTCTGCTCCCTTCTGATTGATAATGGCAATGAGGTAAGAGCATGTGATGGGTGGTGAATCTCAGGAGGCATTTGCAGTGAAAAATGTCTCCCCCACGAACACAGATGGGTCTATTCGCTCACTCTGGGGTGTTTACACTGGGATTCAGAGCTCATTTAATCTTGTATTAGCTCTTTCAAGCCTGCCTTTCATGGAAAAACCCTTCCAGTGATCTTATTTTCTGTGCTTTGGAGAAAGGAAGTGACTTCCTTTTGACGCTAAGATGAGTTTTACTGGTTGAGTTCAGAGAGAAACCCCCTGTAGAGATGAGTTCCAGTTTAATTACCAGCCTGGATCCTTACTGGTGCTCCAGTTCTGCAGCTTTCAGAGATAAAATGATGCTTTTCTGCTCTTTTATGAATCAGAATATTCAGGAGAAGACATGAAAAAAGCATAATACATCACCATTTAAAACAGAAATTTCATGTGGCCAGTGTGTATGTGTGTGTGTGTGTGTGTGTGTGTGTGTGTGTGTGAGTGGTTAGCTCACACACTTCTTGTTTTGGTTTCTCAGAAGGACCACTTACAAATTTAGATGTGCAGCAGCTGAAAAAGTCAGAAAAACAGCCCAAAAATACACGACTGGAGAGAAGTTACTCATTAAGATCGTTTATTTGCTGCTTCCGAAAGAAATCCCAGGCAAACGTGGGAAACGGAAGCAGGTTTGGGTTGGAAAAGCGTATTTTTTCACATGCTGGAGCAGAAGCTGAAGCCACAGATTAGTGATGTTTGAGCCATTAAACCTGAGCTCAGAATAAACAACCTCAGATGCTCCAGAGGAGAATAGAAAGGCTTTCTTTGGTGTCCTCTGGTCTCTCTGAGATTGTTTAGCCAGTCTGTGTCTTATTTAGGCTTTTTGTTGTTGTGTTGTGGGCTTATTGCGATTTTAGCATCTTTTTTCTATTGTTTTTGCATCACTTTGATGTCAGTTAATGTTTCTGGGTGAGTCTGCAGATGTTTAGTTGTTTTATTTTTGCTTTCTGCTGTCACACTGAATCTTGAAGTCCTTCTGCATTTTCCTTACAGTCATTTTTAGATGCCTGAGTTTGTTTTATGTCATTTAGTTTGTTTTTTAATAGTTTTCAGTCCAGTTTTTATCTTTTGTTGTGTTTATAATGGACAACAGTGGCTGAGGAGATAAGTGCCCGCACCGTAATCGGAAGGTTGCAGGTTTGAGTCCTGCTCAGCCTGTCACAGTCGTTGCGTCCTTGGGCAAGACACTTAACCCCCCTTGCCTGCTGGTGGTGGTCGGAGGGACCGGTGGCGCCAGTGCTCGGCAGCCTCGCCTCTGTCAGTGCGTCCCAGAGCAGCTGTGGCTACATCGTAGCTCATCCCCACCAGCGTGACTGATAGTGCTGTAAAGTGCCTTGGGGGGTTGTACAACCCTAGAAGATGCAATATCAAATACAGGCCATTTATCATAATTCTAAATAAATCAAAAATGAATTTTATTTGTGGATATAATTAAAATAAAATACAAAGGCATTATTTAAAATGTGTAATATGTGATATAAAATAACTTTATTGATTCATTTAAATGAACAATGATCAAAAATATCATTTTAAATGTTTTTTGTTGAGTATGCTCATCTTCTCAAAACTGTTACGATCTCCACAAAGATTTTTTTTAAATGGAATCAAATTTAGATTAATATTTCAGAGATGACGTGATTAAGCCTCAGCATATTTAATCCCTAGAATAAAGCTGCGGTTTCCAGCTGGTTGCATCACAGGTGACTCAGATGTGGTAATGTGGAGCGGGTTAACCGCTGCTCTCTGTCTTTGTCGATCCCAAACGTGCACGTGATTTCCCTGCAGGCTCTAAATGCTGCCGTAGATCCCAGACAGATGATGGGTCATGGGTCGTGGAGGGAAATCACAATTTTCCAGGGATGTAGATTTAATTTAGGGATGAAAATCAGGCCTGCGAAGAGAAAGGGCAGACTTATCGACTCAAATATTAAGTAGCTGTCCACCTAAAGTCGTGATTTTCTTACAGATCTTGCTGAATAAAGTTCCAGGATGGACCGAAACAATGGACTAAAAATTCCCCTTCAAGCTTTTGCTGAAAACTTCGTTTGTGCCCTGGTTTAGTCTCTTCTGGGGCTTTTTCCTTTCCAGACCTGGAACACAATCACTAGTGTGATATAATCTGCTTTGGGTCAAATAAAGTTAACGTTAGCTTCACCCAGCAGAAGAGACAAAAGCAGCCAGGGTCAGCCTGTTTAAAGCTGATAAAGTCGACCAAAACACATTTATAAGTTCATCAATGCAAAATGAAAGTTTAGATTCGAAAGTTAAGTTTAGTTTCAGTTAAGCTAAGCTAAGTTAATAAAGCTAAAATAAACTCAAGATTTCTTCGATCTTTTACAGTCAGATCTTCTTTAAAGAGCAAGTCACCCCCTACCAGAGTCCTACTCCAATCCCACTTCGTGTTTGAAAAATGCAACAAAATGCTGTTGCCTAGCAAACTGAGAGGGCGGAGCCGCTAACAAATACAGGTTATGGTCTATAGGGCCTTACATGGACAAGCACCATCATACATTGGTGATCTTCTCAGTCCCTACACCCCCAGCAGGTCCCTGAGGTCCAGTGACCAAAGCCTACTGGTTGTGCAGCACCAGGCTAAAGGTCAAAGGTGACATATCATCTGCTGCTGTGGCCCCCAGACTCTGGACCTCTCTCCCCCTGAGCCTGAGATCAGTGGACTCAGTGGTCTCCTTTAAAAAGCAGCTGAAGACTCACCTGTTCAGGCTGGTTTTTGTATGACCTTACCATTGTAAGGGGTTAATTTACAGCTAATTAATGGACACGAGACATGAGATTCCATAATGAATATTAGGGATGAGCGAGTACACCACTATCTGCATCTGTATCTGTATCTGTATCTGTATCTGTATCTGTACTCGGAATGGGCGTGGCATAACCGGAAGTGGGTGTGGTTTACATCAATATATTATTTTAAGTCTGAAATTGATATGGATTGATCAGAAGTTGCTATGTGTATTGTTTATTTGAAAACTATTTACAGAGCAGCCTCAGAATTGAGATTAAATATTTTTGATCACAATAGTAAAGAAACTATTACAGAACAAGTTTTTCAATAAAATCAGAACATTAATATTTAAGTGCATGGATTAATACATCTGAACTCATGCAGTAGGAACTAGGAAATATGAAATGCTAGAACCAGACACAACTTTATATTTATTTTTAAATTTTAATTTGATTAAACTGATATTTTCTTAACGTTCTTGGCATTTTCCCACACAAAGTTAAACATAACAATGTTGATTGAGGTGTGTGTGTGTGTGTGTGAGAGAGAGATAGAGAGAGAGAGAGAGAGAGAGAGAGATGGAGATAGAGAGGGAGTTAAAAAAAATTCGTCAAAAATGCTTTATCCGTACCGGATACTCGTCTGAAACGAGTACCCAGCTCATCCCTAATGAACATGGAATCAATCTTGTGGATCTTTGGGTTATTTTAACCAGAAGATTGGAACTTTTTATTGCAGGGATTATGTAACACTTGTATCAACTGAGAGACAAGAGAAGAGAGAGTCACCTTTAAAATGTTTAAGAAGATTTATTTCTAAACAATTTTAAACAAGACTAACTCTAAATTCTAAGTGAATGAATGGATCTTGGTGTGTGTGTGAGTGATGTTGTCATCAGAACTCTCGTATCCGGAGAAGCAAGTCTGAATGATGTTGTGATGTTTTGCTTTAGCTATGATCGGAGTTTCATAAACACTTGAGACGCCATGTTGTCGCTCTACACATACCTTTAGGATGAGACCTCCGTACATATCCAGACTGCCAGGTCCTCGGACCCCCCTTTCGGTACCAGAGCCGATGAAACAGCGTCAGCAGTACGACAGACTAGTCTTTGGATTGTCTCCAGGTAAAAAGTGACAGTTGGTTGACAGCGTCAGATGGACCCCCTTTGGGTCAGTGAGTTCAGCTTTTATTCTGATAGGAACTATCGCTTGGTTGGTAAAATGCAACAGATTTTATCCAGTTTGTTGGTTCTTTGCTTAAAAAGGAAGTCCGGGTGGCCGGTCCGATACTTCTCTTAGCATGCGGTGAACTGCAGAGAACTCAGAGAACTGAACTAAGATGGCGTTGGGACTGGTTTTATTAATCTGGATGTTTTAATTTCTGGTCGAATCAAAGTTGGACAGATTTATAAACACCACAGAGACAATGCCACGCTTCAGAAAGGAAGGTCCTGATTGGATGAGTAAAAGCAATGTGTCGTGCGTTTACATTACGTGTGATCAGGATGTCTAGTGCAGCTAGATTAAAGTCATATTACTTATTAAAACTTACTAATCATAACATTGTCATTTCACAGATTGGTCAACATTATATTATTGACTGTGTTTTATTAGCCTTATTAAAAAAAGAGTTCTTTGATTTATTTAAAGGAAAGAGTCCTTTATCTTCATTCTTCTCTTGAGCTGGAAAGGAAGCAGTTTAGAAGCAAATGCATGACCTTGAGGCAGTCTCATGCAGATTAGTTCTGTGTCAGAGGCATCTGTGGAGGGAGGGTAAATAACCTTCGGTGGAATAGCACCTCCATCATGTTACACCATACCATACCATAGGTGTGACCTTCTTCACCCTCTCCTTGTTCTGCTCTCCCCACCTATTCCACCTTCCTCAGGATCCTCTTTCATATTCGCTCTCTCATTTTTAATATATTTTTAATAATTTTCTAAATTATTTTTTATATTTTTACATTTTTGGTTTAATGTGAAGCGCCTCATGATTTTTATCTTGAGAGGTGCTATAGAAATTATATTTTCTTCTTCTTCTTCTTCTTCTTCTTCTTACATACACACACACACACACACACACACACACACACACACACACACACACACACACACACACACACACACACACACACACACACACACACACACACACACACACGTGCTCACAACAACATTGTGACATCATATGGTACCAGCTAACGTTCTAGGGAACCTCTTAGCCAATAGCGATGGTAGATCTAAATTCAAATGCAGTGCAGAGTTTTTACCTGACAACGGCACAACTCTGACAGTTTTAGGCAGAAAATAAAAATTTATACTAAAATGCACTAAAGTGCCAAACTATTGACTACACGCGTCTGCAGCACCATGAGACACACATTTATATAGCTTATCAGAAAAAAAATAGTTGACTTGGTCGTGACTTGCTCTTTAAGGTTCTGCGCTGCTCTAGATACTTTTGTTTGATCAGGTTTGTTCCAGTCACACGTCCAGTTAGACTTTCCAGTGACTAAGCATCTGAGTATCCCCCCCCAACACACACACACACACACACACACACACACACACACACACACACACACACACACACACACACACACACACACACACACACACACACACACACACACACACACACACACACACA